TTAATAAAAAAGTTTGATGGTCTTACATCACTTGCTAGCGAGAGGGCACAATCAACTTTTTTTCAAATGAAAAGAGATTCTTTTGATATTTCGTTTGAAACTTGTCTAGACAATGACTTTCATTTTTTTGAATTTTGATAGCCGGTTTCATTAGAAAGAGAAATAAATCAAAACATTGAAGAACGTTGTATAGAGAATTGAAATATCTTTCGAGTGAAGGGTCACAAGGCCTGCCTTTCTATTTGAAAAAATAAGTTCATGGCGCCCGGAAGTTCAAAGGGCATGGAGAAATGGTCATGAAGTGTTAGGAATCACACATTAAAAGGTAAGACCTCGTTAGTTCTTAGCTCGCACAAGTTTCTCAACTTCTAAGAGTTGTCGTTCGTATGGGAGCGACAGCTGATTAACGGAAAAACAGATTTTTTATGAATGCGCCATTTTCCCGCGGCTGGCGCCCCAGTTGGAATATTTAAAAATCCTTCTTTATTGCACATCTAGAACATAGAATGAACATATATACAAAATTTCAGCCTCCGACAATATAGCGGTAGGAGAAACCCTTTTACCCCTAGAAAGAGTTCCCAGTTGAAACATTCACAAATCCTTCTTAGTGCGCATCTAAGACCTGAGAAGCACCTATATACCAAATTTTGTCTTCCTAGGACTTACCAGTACGGAGAAACAGAGATGAATTGGTGTTAAGTGACTTTTGCAATTATAAGTATAGATTCGGTTAGTAAATATTGATTTCACAAACTCATAAAGGTGTATGTGTGTGTATAGCTCAGAAGAGAAATATCTTCAAGCATCACGAGCCCTGAAATAATGTTCATTTTCGGAGTTGGCGTGATAGTTAACTATTTTTCAAAATTTCCAGTTTCTTTGTTCTCTAAGTATCAATGATCCATTCAAAATTTTAGTCATTAGCCATGTTTCATGCAAGTTGATAAAAATAAAATATGAATAAATCCTACGTGGTAGGATTTATTCAAAGTAGAACTCATGTGAATGATATCTGATTTTTATTCCTCAACAAATGTTCTATATACAAACTGAATAGAGAAGAGTATCTTCTGTATAATTCAGTGTTCATATAGAAGTATTTGTTTCGAAAGAATTTTTTTCTTTCGTGTAATTCAATGTTTATATGAAAGTAGCTGTTTCAGGAGGACTTTCTTTCAGTTTGTGTCTGNGCTCTAAGATACCAGCCCCAGATATCCTTAAGGTTTTTTTTAAAGATGAATACCTACTTGGGTTAATACTATTTCCCCAGAGAATTGTCCCGCATGAGATATGTGATTAGAAAAAAGCGTAATTAACTGATAATAGCGCCTGTTGAGAGATCGAGTTTTTCAATTTCTGAAGAACAAAGGTGCATTTCAACAGTTCATTGCTAAGCTGTTTAATGTGCACTAAACAGTTCAAATTATTGCCTAGATGTATTACTGAGTAGAGCGAATTTATATGAAAAAAATGTATTAAAAGAAGAAACTGATTTTGAAGTGAGTTCCCTCATGTTAGTATCTGCAACAGTCTATAGATAAGGCCTTTATTTATTCCTGATGCTTCAGGAATAGGGCAATTAGGTGTGTTTTCCTGTTAAAGACCTCCCTAAAATGACCTGGCTGAATATGCTAATTAATATATATTCAACCGAACTTACTTTCAAACCAGTGGTATTATTTTTTGCAATTATTTTGACGTTTTACTTGATTTTGATCTTTCTCTTGAAGATGATCACTTGGTGATCGAAACACGTGTCGACGTGTGTTAAAATAACAGTTTGATGTTGGGAAAAAACTTCAGTAATATGTATTTTACTTATTGCTAAAGACGTTTGTTTCATACTATCCCATATTATTATTTGTTTTATTTTAGGTCACAAAAATAGTTTGCCTTATTCATAATTTTGTTTCATAGTCATAAATCCTTTTCATATTTTTTTACTATCATTTTCACAAATCATTGTGAATATTATCAGTTCTATCATCTATGATACTTCACTAATATATTTTCTCTCAAGATTTCAAATTTGTCAACACTTGTGTTCAGACGATGGAAGTCTGATTTTTCAAATTTACAATAAACTCTCGCCAACCAGTTTCAAATATTTCAACTCACTCAAAATTGAGTATAACAGTAAGTCATAGGTTTATTAAAGTAATCAATATTTTCAATTTCAGATCTGATTTAGTAAAGGGTGTGGCTATACTTATAGAAAGATAATGTGAAAGACGAGACACATTGCCATGACATGTCAGTTCAAAGTCAAGGTAGAGGACAATACACTTCTTTTCTACTTTAATAAAGGTATCGTACATAGTTCTCTGCAAAACTTTTCATATATTGCAAAAATGATTATATACATTGAAAATGATAAATCTATCTTTATAGGAAGACTGTACAATTTTTAAAAAATTAATAAAAAATATTTTACCGTCACAATGTACATACATTGTGTTTCTATTATGTAAAAATATGTACAGGTACACAAAATGTGCAAAATGAAATTTTGCTAGCAACACTCAATTTTTCCACATCAATGTATACAAAATTTTAAGCAAAAAATACTATAAAAAATTAAAATTGTATATATTTTTCCTTAAAATATAGCAAATATATTTACATTTGCCATTTGGTGTACTATTTTCAAATTAAATTATGTTGAAATACACTTTTACAACATTGTGTAGTATAGTATATACTTAAATTGATTTTCATAAAAAGATTTGATTTTGTTATATACACACCCCCTCGTTTCGGTCAGCAACGAAGAAAACTGAAATAATACATTATAATGAGAAACTTATCATCACATTATGTCAACAGAATCAATTCAACCTTCATTACGAGAAATTTTCAAAGATTCATCATTCATATTTGTCTTTGAAAATGGTGTACAAATAGGGATTGAATTTATTGTTGAATTAACATCTATATCCATATCAATGTAGTCTTAGGCTTCTTCTCAAATATTAAATGAAATTATTGTTCAACAAAAGTAGAAATGAAGTATCTATATTTCCAATGAGATAAAATAAAACAAATAAAAACTATTCTATTATGATACTTCAAAATGTCACCAGTGTTTAAAATATACGAAGGTAGTGATAAAAGTAAGATCTCTTATTATTTTATAAATACAAAAAAAAACAATTTTTTGTATGTCTATAATTCTTTGAATTGAAAAGTTTTCATTTTTCATAATAAATGTATTTCAATCGTTTCCTCTGATACTTTTTAAATGCCCATCAGGGTGGTCACAAAGGTGAAAAAATATTTTCATCATATTGCCGGCGGGATTCCCCTAATATTTGCTATTTGTCTAGAAAATAACATTTGAAAGTTTTAGCTGGATTGGATAATGTTAATCCGTTCCTCATTGAGATCGAATTTGACAAAAAGATTGTTTTTCTAAAAATCGCCGCTTTTTATCATAAAATGAAAATTATTTATCCTAAATGTTTGATTCTTGTTTCGTTTCATAGAAAATGTTGCTATCTTTCAAGTTTTAATCTAACCACTTTGTTTTAAAACGGTGATATTTAAAGATATCTATTATTTTTTAAGGCCGGACATGATCCAAATCCTCAAAGTAGCTATTTTTAGAAAATAAGTGGAAAATGGCAAGAAAGATACTTAATTTCAATCAATTTTTTGTTTCCTTTGAACATTATACATTATATAACAATATATAATTAAACATAAACTGAACATTTTTTTCACATTTATAAATGTTTTTAGGAATTGCAAGTTAATGGTTACCGATCTGGTATATACATAGTTCTATCCCTTGAAAGGTCGGATTTGTTACAAAAAAGCTATTGCCAAGGACCATTTGTGTGTTCTTTGTCAGGGATGGCTGGGGTTTTTCCATTCTTTGGAAAGTGTGAGGGAGGAGGTCAGAGGGCTTTAGTTAACGGTTGCTTTTCAAACAGTTAACATTATTGAACAACGTTCGTCTAGTGAGGTTTGTGGGACTAAGTCTTCTACAGCACAAACGAGCCATGCTCCTTCGGGTTCGAGTTCAAGGCAGAAGGAATTGGTGTATTTAATTGGCCACATGTCTCATCAATTCACTGGCAGTAAATTACCATCTGATTGTCATGTTTTATGCAGCTTATTTTATAATATACGGCAAGTGATATTGAACACCAGGGAAGACTTACAGTAGAGGAAGTTTTAATTTTGTGGGAGAAAGCTAAGATACCAACCAGACACTTTAAGCTAACAGATCTGAAGGCACATCTCAAAAGAAAAAAGTAGAAGCTTTCAAGTCAGCCCTTGATGATCTATTTAACACTGTTGAGGACGCCCTGCGGCGTTGACATGAATTTTGTAAATTCAGAACAACAAAGAAAAAAGAGATGAGCAGCTGAGACGGCGAGATTTGAAAAATCACAAAACAAAGTAGGTTAGGTTAGTAGAGAAGTAGAGAATAATATCAACTACTGCAGAGGCATTAGGTTTTGACTCACAGCATTAATTTGTAAGTAGAAGTGCAATACAACTTCGCAGACAGCTATTGCGAAAACAAAGGACTAAGTTTATCAAACATGGATTCAAAAATTCCGATTTAGAAGGAGCTGTTATGCACTGAGTAAAGAAAATGTTCAAAGAGTAGCGGTTTTGATTAGTTGTGGGGATGAACAACAGTTGATAGGAGTTCCTTCTTTCAAAAGCCATATTATCTAAGCCATTACCACCTTGATCTAATATATAATTGAATGTGTAAATAATTTTCTGTGCTGTATTTACTTTAAAATTCAACTACAACCTTTTTCATGTAACAATTGAGATAATAAATAAAGCAAAATCTGGACAGGTTTTTCAATTTCACCATTGAAAATTGAATACCGCCAAAAGTTGCAAGATAAACAGCATACAGAGTAGGTTAAAACATCAATTCATTCAATAAAAACTGAATGATTTTAATTTTAAAAATAACTACAAACTTTTTCAGAAAAGTTGATCTTAATTGAAAACAATACTAAAATATGTCATGGACCTCTATTCAAACTTTTATTTTTTGGAAAAAAATTGAATTAATCTTGTATGATATATTTTTCAGTATTCCAAATCATTAAACATTCAAAGCAGCCACAAAGCAGGCACACTTTCTCTCAAATTGAAGCACAGAATTCACTTATATTGATTTTCAAATAACTGTCAACTTCATCTTGTTACAATATTTAACAAAATTTTAAAAATTCGCAAATTGTTTCAACAAGCTCAGAGAAGCAAAGCCCAACAAAACATATCAAATGTATCATGAAAACCAGTGAGAAAAATGAGTGCTCGAAGAATCAATGGTTTGTTTGATATGATAATATGGTTTTCAATAACTGGCATGTTAAAGGTTTTTTGTTTTTTAAACTAGGACCATTTCAAATGCATTGTCAAAAGTTTATGTTATCTGAAAAAGCAAAATCAGTTTTGATTTGTGTAAATGGTTATAAAATGAAGCATAAAGCTGCAGATATTTTCAACAAACAATGTTCATAAAAATAAGTCCACTATTCAAGGGTCAGTAGAATTTTGATCATAAGCAAGCAATAACAATAAAGAGCCTAAGAAAACATTATGTACAGAAGAAAACTGATAGTACTTCAGGCAGTTATCGAAAGTCCTAGAAGATCACAAGTAGGAAAAAACTTCTGTAAGGCACAAAATAAATACCATGAATACAAGCCAAAATTCATTTGAATATTTTAAGCTAGATACCATAAAATGCATGATTTCCAGCATCATATTCTGTTTGGTGAATATTAGTAGATGGAATTTATGATCTGATGTTTCACATCTACCAATTGAATAACTATTATGAGATATGTTCAGAAAATAACAGGAATTTTTGTTTTTTGAAAAAATGATTTATTCTTACGGCTACATTAATGTTGTTGCTTTAAAAATAGTTCCTATTAGATATTATGCACTTGTGCCAGCGATTCTTTCATTCCTCGAAACACCTCTCAAATTCGATATTTGGGATGCTATTAGCTTTCTCACTGATGCGCATTCAATGTCAGCTAAGCTTATAAATCGATGGCCCTCCATAATTCTCTTTATTATAGGAAATTGGAAAAAGTCACACGGGGCCATGTCTGATGAATATGGAGGTTGGGGAATCGTAACTGTATTGTTTTTGTCCAAAACTTCACTTACACACAATAAAGTGTAAGCAGGCGCATTATCGTGATGCAAAGCAAGAATTGTCTGTCCACAAATTCGGGTATTTTATTCGGATTTCTAAACGCAAACAGAGTTGAACTTATAGGTAGTATTTCAATCTTTTCACGTTTTTATCAGTTGTTGATATGTTGGGACATCTGAAGCGTTCATCATCTTTAATTTGAAAGTCTACACAGCCATCTTGGAAATACTCATAACACACGTAAACTCTTGTTTTACTCATAGCCGACTCACCACAGACCTTTGTTAACATTTCACAATTTTTTTTACACTCTTAAAAACCCGTTTAACTGCAGCAGCTGCCACAGATAAAGTAAACAAATAATACAACTAAAAATGTTATCATACTTCAAGGGCATATATACCAAAATCATAGAAAAAAAATACAACTGAGGTCTCTAAACTCGTGACATTAAAAAAATCCCGTTATTTTCTGGGCATATCTTCTATATTCTAGGAAGAGGTGATGTAAATGTTGATTCAATATCTGAAAATTCTGATATCGTGAATTGAGAAATGTTTTTTTTTTTAATTTGATATGAAAGATCAGATTACTTGTATCAATTATTGCTAATATGAATGCTACCAACACCCATGGTGAACTGAAGGAGAAATTTTAATGATCTAACTGCGGAATATTTAACAAAAGGTAACTTCTACAAAGAAAATATAAATTTACTGTAAAGGATTTTGTTGTAAACAAACATTTCATATTTCATGATCCTATCTATAGTTCGAGAGATATTGAGAGAAATTTTTTTTTGAAACTTTGACATGGAATAAAAAAGCTCAACTCCGATTTACTGGGACTTTTCAAGTTATGTTCTCTAATATAACTTTCTCATTAACCCATTTCCTGATCTGTGCCCATATATGGAGTCAGTGATTGGTATCTGGAACATACAACTTTTTTTTGAGTATGATTTTCAAGTGTTCATCCAATATAAAGTCAATATATGACAGCCTAGCAGAGTAAATGTGGAAGTTTTGTAAATTAGTTTTGTAAAATTCTTAAAATTGAATCTAATATTGTTAATGTAGATTCCATAATGTACCAATGTGAATAAAAAAAAACCAAAATTGGCTCTAAGAAGGAAGATTATTATTGTGTGGTTGTTTGTGAGCTCTTCAGCGAACAATAATTGGTCAACCGAGCAAAAAGCGCCAGTTCTCTAAGGAGGGTATACATATTTTACAAAAATTAATCAGTGATCAAGATGTTTCATGTTGTAAATATATAGGATGAAAGGTTCACTCTCGAATTTATTGTGTACAAGACCCTGCATCAACTATTCATTACTACAATGTTTGCATTAAAAATATATAATTTTATTTCTGATGAGATAGGATTTGAGTTAAAAAAAGCTGCAAGCTATGTAAATGTCACATAAATATAAAGTACTACTTGTGTTATATAGCTATCTGAGCGTGATGATTAAATGTTAATACTTTCATGATTTAAAAAAACATGAACAGACCTTAAGTACTCTTCATGTTGTGCAACAATCGAGGGGTGGGGAGGAAACCTATCTCTTTCTAGCAGCATCTGCCTCTGTAATTGTTCATGTGCAGCAGCCTGAACATTGAAGAATACCAGTTAAAAGGGAAACAAAAATTCACAGTTGAAAAACTTCATTGTCGATGATGGTTAAATTCTCTTGGTTCAAAAATAAAGTCATTATTTCTGAAGTCAGAACTCACAACACAAAAGGATGCTTTTAGAAATACCATAATTTATGTGATTGTAAATACATTTTTTTAACAGCTTTGTAATCGAGAATTGAAATTATATGTTCTAATAATTCGAAAGAAATAGGAACATTATGTACATATCAGTCTGTGAAGATTTTACATGTAAACATATCCTAACAAATACATTCTTAGAAATATCACAGTAATGCAAAAAATCATAAAATGTTTCAATCTTTTCACAAATTCAAATTCATTTACATATTCAACATTTCTTCTCATTCATTTCACTACACTGAAGTGACATTAGTGATAAAAGCATTATTTCTGCTTTAGTTCTGCATTTATATCAAAATACAATGAATTAAACCAACATCGCCAACACAAATATACAATATTGCTCTATATTATATTGCGCCAAGATTTAGAAAACTTGAAAAATGTTAAAATATTCTAGAACAATTCCATTTTATGGTATTTAGAACAGCAAATTAAAAATTCTCTTACTTGATGTGCTAACTGATCTGCATAAGGTCTGCCCAAAAGATCCGGATGGTGAAGTCCTAATGGACCATCTCTACTAGGAATCAAACCAGGTCGGGGGTATCCTGGAGTTCCAGAAGCTAAAATAATAATATAAGATTGAAACACAGTCCTATTTTTGTACACGGTATGAAAGTATCAAAATGAGCAGCACATGTTGACATTTTGTTAGTTTCTTCTACACAATATAGCCTTTATAAACCTGACTAGTAAAAATTGTGTAAACTAATTGTTACAATAACTTTGTACATTATACATAATGGGAGTTGCTTGTTATGGACACATGGTCACAAATATGAAGTGTACAATTCATTTGAGAAATAAAGACAATTATTATTATTATCATTATTCTGGTTCCAAACATTATATTGGCCCAACGGGGAGAACTTTCTAGAAAAGAATAACCGAACATGGAAGTTGTTTCTTGAATGATGAGATTAATTCAACATTTGTAAACCATCTTTTGGCAGAGTTATAAGTTCAATCATGATTACAATGTAGTACATTTGGAAGAAGGTTTGAGACTATTTTTTCCAATATTCAATGAACAAATATATTTTAATTATTCTAATATGAGGCTCTGATAGTGATGGTTACATGTCCAATTTAGTAAGTTTGTCCTGAGAAGTCATAAACTTTATTAGTAGGTAGTGAAAGTTACTATGATTTAAATTACTATAATTTAGAGGAAGCTGGATGTAGAAATTAAGTTAGTGAGTAAAAATCTCACAATGAAGTGTTATTTAAATTTGTAATAATGAATTTCCATAAAATATTTGCCAATTCCGTGGCACAGATAAGAGAAGCCAGTTTCGGTAAGAGAATGTATTTAGTTTGTCTCCAGAAATAATGATGTGATGTTATTAGGAACACTTCTGTATTTCTTCACATGCATTCTCTTGTTTTCAATAAAAAAAACAAACAAACCTGGCAGTGGAAAACCTGCTGCTGCAGCGGCTGCTTCCTGTTGTGCCTGTTGCTGTTGAGGATGTAGGTGTAGATGAGTATGAGCATGTGTATGCGCGTGGGTATGTGCATGGTACTCCGGAGAAATACCGGCCATTTGCAATCTTACCTTCAACAACAAGAGAAAATGACTTGATAATGACATTAGAACCATTTCAAAGCTTTATATAATTTTTGCAAATACTCTAAATTATATTTCAAGGATCAATGATGAATTCCATAATTGAATATTATAATTACAAGTATTTGTTCACAACTTTTTTCACGTTAATCGTAATTGTTTGACAAGCACCCTAATATAGGGTGTTCTATTTGTAATAATAAAGTTATCTTTGCCCTAAATTATAGAAAAGTGACAATAATTTTTGAACATTCTGCATATATAGATAGATAGATTATATTGATCCTTTTTGCTACATAATGTGTAGATGGGATAATTTATAATATTAAGAAATATGTTTTATCGAAATCAATAGCCCAAAATTGGAATTCGAACGGATTATTTCTTTATATTACAATGTTATTTAGTTTCCAAATGTACCTAGTATTTTCATAAAAAATCAACAACTCAAGAACAGGAGAAGGGATTATTTCTTTATATTTCAATGTTATTTAGTTTCCAAATGTACCTAGTATTTTCATAAAAAAATCAATAACTAGAGAACAGGAGACGGGAATATTTCTTTATATTTCAATGTTATTTAGTTTCCAAATGTACCTAGTATTTTCATAAAAAAATCAATAACTCGAGAACAGTTATAGTTGGGTATATGGTACCTTATATGAAATATTTTTTTAAGACAAGCACTACATGAAAATTCTTAAGGGGCTCTTAGAGTGGTGCCTGGTAATGATTCACATTGGATTTGAATCTCTGGAGATTGAATCCATTTGGAAAAACGTGTAGAAAGTTTATTCCACTCGAGCACAGTTCTCCAAATGAGTTCTTAAACAGTGAAGTTCAAGGTGTACTGAGTAAAGCAGCTACAGTCCGTCGCATATTTCTGATATGTACCGCTCTTGGTGGAATCAAATGTGCCAAGTCACTTGAACACTTTCCGTGAAAGTATCTATAGAACAGAGACAAATCTCCAACCTTTTTTCGATGTTCCAGACTATCAAGGTTGCAAGTGATGTTCGCATCTCCAATCAAGAGGCGGATGGCTCTTTTCTGGATGGATACCAGCAGTTTCAGGGTATGTTTCGAGGCAGAGCTCCATACATGAGAACAATACTACAAAGAAGGTCTAATCTGAGCGTTATAAAGCATCAAAAGTTGCTGAAGTGTGTACAGTTTTCTGGTTCGGAACAGTGTTCCAAACTTTTGAGAAGCAGCCTTTGCAATTCCGGCGATATGATTGTGCCAAGACATAATGGCGTACATTTTAACCCCCAACAAACTTATCGAAGCAGAAAGCGGCATTGTCTGTCAATCAGTAGGTTATGGTTGACTCTATCAAAGGCTTTAGAAAAATCTGTGTATATAGAGTCCACTTGTAGCCTATTTTCAAGATTATTTATGATGTAGTTTTCATAAAGTAATAAGTTCGTAGAAGTTGATTTCCCTTTGGTAAAACCATGTTGTTGATTGATTATGATATTTCTGAAATCGAATGAAAGTTTTCTAGTGATTAGACAGTCCAGCATTTTGGGCAACTCTGACTGATTGCATATGCCTCTATAGTTTTTAATATTGTTACGAAGTCCACTTTTATGAACTGGTTTGATATAGCTTTGTTTCCAAAATTCTGGGAATATTCCTTTTTCAATAGAAAGATTGAATAGCCAGTGTAGTGGTTTTGCTAGAGTACAAATACAATTTTTAATCAGGTGCAAGGGTATCTTATCAGGACCTGTTGGTAGTTTAAATGGTAGTTTCGAAGCTAAATCTATAACTTCCTTAATATCTATATTATAGTGGCAGACGTCAGCTACATTTTGAAATTTGAATTTGGGGATTATATCCAGTTCGGAAACATTTATTGATCTTTTTGGAGAAAACCGATGCCTGGGTTTTTGTGGCATTGAATTGAACTTGTTTACTTTAACCCCAATTCGAAATTACTTCTAGATCTTCATTAAGGTATTCAACCTCCTGCTACCGGTGAAGATGTTCATCCACAGCCGATGTCCTGGAATTCAAATCTAATGACGAGACAAGTATGATGTCGTCAGCAAAGCAATATATTGGATTCTTGGTTTTTTCCAATAAGTCGTTGATATACAATAAAAAGAGGGTTGGAGACAATATGGATCCCTGGAGAACACCAGTGTAATGGTGAAAGTATTCGTGTTAGGAATCACACGTTAAAAGGTAAGACCTCGTTAGCCCTTAGCTCGCACAAGTTTCTCAACTTCTGAGAGTTGTCGTTTGTATGGGGGCGACAGCTGATTAACGGAAAAACAGATTTTAAACAATTTTTTTTAAACAGATATCCATCGATGGCCACTTGCAGGGAACTGCACTTGCAGAAAAACAGATTTTAAACAATTTTTTTTTAAACAGATATCCATCGATGGCCACTTGCAGGGAACTATCTTTCAGGAAACTGAAGAGCCATTCACAAAAGTGATCCAAAAAGCCATAGCATCCAAGTTTGGCCAGCAAACCCTTATGCCACACACGGTCAAAGGCCTTAGAAATATCAAGCGCAACAGCTCTTGACTCTCCTTATTTCTCGATTGCGTTATTCCAAATATGGGTGACATACTATAAAAGATCACCTGTTGATCTTTGTTTCCAAAAGCCATACTGATGATCGTTCAAGATGTTGAAGCCTTCCAAATATTCGAGGATATGGTGGTTTACGGCTTTCTCCTTGATTTTTGATATCACTGATAGCAAAACGATTGGTCTATAGTTATTTGAAAGAGTTTTCTTACCCTTTTTGGGAATAGGCTGAACGCGAACAATCTTCCAACAAAACGGAATTATCCCTTTCTTGTAAGACAGGTTGAAAAGTCTGCAAAATACTGGTGCAAGTTCATTTGCGCACTTTTTAAGTACCATGCCAGGCACTTCATCAGGACACCAGATGCCTTGTTGATATTGAGCTGTTTCAAAATTCGCCTGACTAGACGTTGTCGAAAAAGTAATTTCCGGCATTGCGCATTCTAGTGTGGGAATAGTGGTTGGTGCCTTTTCCAGAAAATTGCGGAGCAGGACGCAAATTGTTCAGCTAGTAGATTTGCTTTTTCTATGGGTGTTGTTGCAATTGAACCATCCGCTTGCGTTAATGGTGGAATTGTGGATTTAGTAAAGTTCTGATTAATAGCTTTAGCATACTATTTGTTCCTGACCTATTCAAAAGCAACTAAATACTGGGTTTTCCATTAAAAAAAAATACAACATTGATATATGACACTTTTTTGAGCTACCCAAAATAATTTCCGTCTGCAGCCTTAATCAATATACATATGAGAAATGGGTAAAATAACACTGCATGTATACTTTTTCAAATTCGGAGTGATTCAATTACAAAAAAAAATCTGAACAATAATGTACATCAAGTCATTTTACACAATATATCTACTCTACAAGTAAGACTAGTCTAAGACCTGAAACATTGTCTATTTTTGAGCATCTGGAAAACATGTTTCATAATCCTTAACAACTTGGAGTAAAAATTGCTTTTTCTCTGTGTCCTTAGTTAATATTCTGTTATACTCATCAATTAGATTGATACCCCTTTCAGCTGCGTCAATAACTACTTCAACATTGTTGATAATTTTACAAGATTTGCTCCAACTTTCTTTCTTATTCCAAGTTGCTGGATCGCTTTCCAAAAATGATGTAGGAAAGTTCAATCTTTGAAAAAAAAAATTAGAAGTAACGAATATAAAGTCATAAATTTCTTTATTTTCTATTTGATCTAATTCCCCTACTATTGCCTGTTTCATGTCCTCTTTACGCTGTTTAGAGTCCTTACCATTTCCTTATTAACATCAATCAAAATATTTTCATTGAAGAAGGATAAGGAAACATTTTCCGGATTTAAATACCACAAAACTGTGTTCTATTATGTATTTTATCAATTCTTTACATAACTGGAGGTTGTGAAAAGGGGCCTTTTTTGCCGAAGGTACTGTAAACCAGGGTTTTATATAAATATTTACGAGAAACATGCATATGTCATGTTAGTTCAAAATGATCTTGAAAAAAAATATTTTCAAGCAATAAATGGATTTAGACATCTAGCGTGTGTGATGAAATGCACTAGGACAATAAAATGGCATATTTGACGGTTTTTCTTTAAAAAACAATTTGGAAAGTGATAAAAATTCTTTAAAATCATTTTAATGCTAGGAATGAATTTATAAAATCGATAATTTCAGATTTTCGAGGGTGCAAAATTTGCTCAATTCTTTCAATTTGAAAACCGGTTTTGCATCATTTAAATACTCTAGAGATCGTAGAGTTTCATAAATTGACAAGGATTGTTCTTTACCCATTGAATGCTGCGAGGGAGGCACTCGAAGCAACTCCTCCACTTCACTAGTAACTACTATAGCAAGTCTGTCCACATTCTTCATCCCTGTCAAAGAAGGTCAGAGTTTTCCATCCCAGTGGATTATTGATGACAAAAGATCGGATTCTTTAAAAGTTACTTTTAATTTTACGCCCCCTCTTTCTTTTTGCACACGTTGTCTAATTCATTGAAGAAGTTGTTCTACCTATAGTCAGAGACGGAATATCACGTCGTAGTGCTTCAGAAACTGCAGTCAAAGTACGAACTCCATATCTATCGCTTATTTCACAGGCATCAAATGCAGCTACTATTTTTGGTGTTACAATGTTAGTTGTTCCATTTTTTTTCTTTTTGGTTGTGATGGATCATGCTCTTCTAGAGCTAGCGGTTCTTCCTCTTGGGATTCTAGCCTTCATTCTATCTCACTATCAATTTCAATAGAGGAACTGTTGTTTTTCTTCAGCTATTTTTTCTCGAACAGCTAGCTGGTATTCGATGCCATGCATAAACCCTAAACGGCCATTTTGCTTTTGACTGATTAAAAACTGTTTTGTCCTCTTCAATTGCTATTAGCTCAGAGGAATTTGTATGTGATATATCAAAATATGTATATCGTTCATGTTTTCCACAAATTTCATATTGGTATGCGAGCTTTGTCCCAAAAAATAGAAACTTTTTTAATAGTTAGCGCGGCACTTTCACGTAATCTTAGTTTCACTTCAGGCATGTTGAAAAATAGAACATTCAAAACTTGTTTCTCAGAAGGCCATTTAGTACCAACAATTTGGGGTGTATAATGTCCAATTAAGTACAAGACACTATTTTTCTTTAAACTTCGAGTCTTAGACATTATAACTTAACAATAATACTGCTACTATGAAGCTTTCAGTTAATGAATACATGTATCTGAATAAAATCTGTTTTTCCATTAACCAGCTGTTGCCTCCTTATGAACGATAACCCTCAGAAGGATTAACAATGTCTTACCTTTTAACGTGGGATTCTTAGCACATTTCATTAACTTTTGAAGTTGCTAAGTGAATTCAGTATAAGTTTTAATACCAAAGAGAATTCAAATGCAAGAATAAATAAGGTTTTGGAAGAGTGAATTGTTTTCTAAAATTCTCAGATCAATATTTCGTGTTCACTTTGAAGCTTACCATAGGATCAGTTGCAAGAGCCAATCTCTCAGCTGCTTCTAACTGAGCCTGATGGGCAGCATGATGAGGATGACCAGGTGGAGGTCCTCCAGGTCCACCTGGACCGCCTGGAGACTGAGGTATACCCAATCTTTCTAATCGTTCCCGTTCCATTTGTGATAGTTGGGCACTACTTCCGCCTGGATAAAGAGCAAAGTGATGGAGAGGAATACCGCCAGGACCTGAAAATACAATTTATTGTTTTAATTGAAATTGCTTTTCCTAAAAATATACTTACCTCCTGGCCCCGCTAATCCGGCAGCATATCTCCTCTGAATTTCCAGCCAATGCGGATCCATAGGATTTGGAGGTCCCCTCATACCACTTTTCATTATTTCCTCCTTCAACCTATCATTCAATTCTCTCTCCCTGAGTTCCCTTATTTCACGTTCCCTTTTTTCTCTTTCCAAGTGCTCTAATTCCAACCTATACAAATTTTGTTAATTTTTCAATTAGGGCAGTATTGTAGAACTATTGCCAAACAATATTTATCCATTTCAGAAAAAACTGCTGATAGAAACTGATCAAATGGTGATCTTTTCTAGTTCAACAATTAAGAAAAATTACTCACCTCTCCCTGGCTCCTGGGCCATACATACTATTCAGTTGATACTGCAACATTGGATCCATTACATGAGAAGGTGGTAGCAGTGATCGAGGCATATGACCTTGAATATTAAAGAGTTCATTAAAAATGCTGTGAGAGATTGTAGATTTACTTATATATTTCGAATAGATATTTTTCATTTCGAGTTTTTTTTGTTCAATTTAACTAATGTAAATCACATATCTAACTGGCGCTGCCATTTTATTTAAAAAAAATGTTAATGAAAGGTCCTAACAAAAAATCTTTTTCAAGCATGTTAGCATCATTATACAACTAAGTAGTGAGATGATGCTAACAAATAAGTCATTCACAGATTCACAGACGAAGCATTAACTCCAGTAATAAGGGTCATTAAATAAGTGTTTCTCATATTAGTTATTGTGTTAATCTGCTGTATCCAAATGTATACAGTGCATTTCATTAATGTCCCCCGCCCCTTTTAGTTTTTCAATGGGTCAACTCAAAAAATTGAAATTTCGGATAATGAAATTAATGCATGAATACTTTATTTTTAAGTGAAATTGACTGATGAAACTTTCAAGATGGCGACTGGGCGCCATCTAGGAAAGAAGAAATTAAATGGAAAGGAAAGTCTTGTGACACATCTTTTTGAAGCTCCTGACAAATGCTTCACAACCCTAGAATATAATGTCAATAGGTTCAACTACTACAAAATGGCGGATCATTTAATAATTGCCTGAATACATTGACTTTTAACTACATAATATGCGATAATAAGCTTGAGGTCAGTTCAGAAGATGCTTGAAATGGTTGCCTTGAACTTCTTGATATATGAATAGCCTATCCAAACATTTTCGAACACAGTAACGTCAATATCTCTACAAATATTTATTATTCTCTGTCGTATGTCCAACATTGAAGCAGGTTCAGTTTCGTACACCTTTTGCTTCAAATAGCCCCATTAAAAAAGTCCAAAGGTGTCAAATCCGGCGAGCGGGCTGGCTATTCTGTAGAACCTCGACGACCAATCCAATGACCGGGAAAAGTAGTATCCAAATAGTTTCTTATTTATCTGGAGTAATGTGGTGGTGCTCCATATTGTTGGAATACAATATACATATCTAATCATTAGGATTCGCTGCGACGATTTCAGTGATGAGAGGGTCAACAGAAGTTTCCAGCATATTCAAATACAGTCCCCTGTTAAAATTTTGATCAAAAGAGGTCCTACAATATGGTTTCCCAATATTCCTGCCAAAACGTTAATTTTTTCTGGATATTGGGTATGTGTTTCCCGGAAAACGTGAGAGTTGGTGTCATTCCAATAAAGGCAATTTTGTCTGTGAACATTGTCGTTTAAAAAAATGTACATTTGTCACTAGAACAAATATTGTGAAGATAGGTAGGATGCCTTGCAATGGTTTTCGTCATGATTTTGCAGAATTCTGTTCTTCGATCAGGGTCATCTTCAGTTAATTGGTGTACCATTTCAATTTTGTATGGATGATACCTATTCCTCTTCAAAAGTATCCACACAGCAGAAGGAGACACCTCACAAACATTCGCGACAGAATAAGTAGGCTGTTCAGGATTTATTACCATCTCATCAATTATTTGCACTTGCTGTTCTTCCAGAATGGACGGAGGATCTGGGAGCTTTTTGTTATGTACACTAGCGGTAGTTGTGAATTTGAATACAAGTTCCCTCAAATATTTTCTACAGATAGGACGATTCGGAAAACGTTCATTGAAAATCCTTTTGGTCTCGTGAAAGTTACACATTGCACCGTAAATAAAAATTTCTTCAATTTCTTCTTCCAATGGACGAGAATTGACCATTTTAGAGATTGTTGACGTGGTACCTTTCTACTAGTAGAACCGGAAACTAAATGAGAATATTCTAACCGAACAATGATGTTCATTGTCGTACTGACATTTTTTGTCGTTTTTATAAACAAAAAACTTAACAAACCGTATCGAGTTGTTGGAATGGCCATATGGCAGATAAATAGGAATATTTCTAGAAATATCGATATTAATGTGTTTGTCTTCAGGAAATTATTAAATGTTCCGTCATTTTGTAGTAGGTGAAGATATTGACTTCATATTCTAGGGTTGTGAAGTATTCGTCAGGAGCTTCAAAATGATGTGTCACAACACCCCCTTTCCATTTTATTTTTTTTCCAGATGGCGCCCAATCGCCATCTGTCAATTTCACTTCAAAATAAAGTATTCGTGCATTAATTTCATTATCCCAAATTTCAATTTTTTGAGTTGACCTGTTCAAAAAATAAAAGGGGGTGGACATTAAAGAAATGCACTGTATGTTAATGACGAATGACTAATTAAGCCTCTATTCCCCTGATTTCTACTTGTAAGTTGTACATAAGAGAGTAAACAACGAGCCGTTTGGAATAATATCTTTGTTGCTGTTCAGAGATCTATGTCCAAATGTTTCGATTTCTGAACTTTCAAATAATTAGTCATTAGCCATTAACATATAAATCGGCATATGACAAACTAAGGAAATAACTAATACTAAAAACTCATTTGATGATACTAATTTTATGATACCCATTTATAGATCCTCATTACTAAAGGTAATGGTTCATATAGATAAAAAGATCTAACTCAAATGTAAGATTTAGTTTTAGTAATCTCCTTTTGATTGTAACTTGTCAAGAGACAATGATACCTTACAGGTTCCTACTTATCAAATGATGAAAAGTTATTAATTCAAAAACTGCTTGGTCGGTATTCATTTCAAGGATAACTTTAAAGAAACTAATCAATGGGTCAAAACTACAAATCGGGAAATTAGTAAATATTTTGTAGTAATGGCAACGATAATCCTTAAAAATTTTCAGTTCAGTCTTACCACAACTGTTCAAAGAGTTCCATACTGTGACTCTCATTAAAAATATTGAGGTTCATTCTGCAAGAATTGATTATGAAAAAAGATTTCAAGACAATAACATTTCAAAAAAATGAGATGTGACAGACACTGTTGAGTGGAGTAGTTTGTAGAATTTAAATTTCATTTTAGACAGTGGTGAAATAATTGATAGTCTTCGAAAATGTTTTCTAAAATAAAATCGTCTTACATATTATAAACCGGGAGATGGTGAAAGATTTTCGTAAGTCATTTCTTACAGTATGGCGATTTTAGGGGGTGCGCGGGACATAATTGCAGATTAATTATTGAAATTGTTCGAAAATCCGGAGATGCCAAACAATTTTTTTTACAAAATTTCTTCAATTTATCGGTATTTTAATGAAAAAAACTCCGGCCTAGCTATATGCCATACTTCTCCGGTGGGTGTTTAGGCCCACCATACTTTTTTGAAATATTTTTCATTTATTTCTTACAGGCTTTTTCTTCAAAACAATTATTTTTTATTAATCTTGTACAAATCACGCCATACCATTCCGACTGTCCAAAATACCCACCATACCTCCCGTATTTCTTTCAGTATGGCAGTCAAATCGGGGTCAGTTTATGATACAGTGAGACAAAATTATATTTGTTATACTTCTAGTGTAGTACAAAAGTGGTGCCATACTTGAAAAATAGTTTCATTTAACCGTTTTTGAAACCTGCTTATAGAAGCCGTAAAATTATTTTTTACAGTATGGCATAAATGAAATTAGATTGTTCCAATACGAATATAAGTTAAAAAAAAACCATACTGAGGCCATGGTTTGAAAGACCGCGATACAAACGCTGTGTTGTAAAAATAAAACGATTTCTTTCAGTATTGCATTTTAATTTTCGAAAATTTTATAAAAATTACATAACACATTATTCATTTGAACAAGAATGTTCCTACATACAACTTTGAAATTAAGTATTTACGTTACTCACACGCCCAACTTTCGAATAAAATTAATGCCATACTGTAAGAAATTGTTCAAATGTTGCATAAAATTTTACAATTATTAAATTACATTGTACGTACCTATATCATCCACTCTATAGGTATGGCATTGAAATAATTATGTTTCCAATCATAAAAACAACTACTAAACCAAATTTTAAGGTGAAAGAAATTAGTTTTCGAATTATGAAAAATGACATGTTTGAGGGGGTATGGCGGGTATTTTGGACCGTTGGAATGGTATGGCATGGGGGTATTCGACAAGATGTATAAAAAACAATTACTTAAAAAAACCAGCATGTAAGAAACTAATTTGAAAAAAAAAAACGTTTCAATAAAGTATGACAGGGCTAAACACCCACCGGAGAAGTATGGCATATAGCGAAAGCCGTTTCTTTTTGTAAAATACAGATAAATTGAAGAAATTTTGTGAAAGAAATTGTTTGACACCTCCGGATTTTCGAGCAATTTCAATTAATCTGCGATTGCGTCCCGCGCACCACTGTATATGAACCCCCCTGATAGCGCCCTACTGTAAGAAATAACTTACCAAAATCTTCCACCATCTCCCGGTCTATTATACGTCAGTAAATCTTGAGAATAATACCTGGACTGAATCCTGCGTGTGGCCTAGCATACTCGGACAACTGTCTCAAAGCAGGTGTATCATTGAAACCAGGCCTTGGAAATCGTTCATAAGGCGATGAAACAGTCTCCAAAGGTCCTCTAGATGGTGGTTTCACATCTGGTTTTTCAGGAGTAGTAATTTTTCTTTGTTGGGCTTGTTGTGCCCTCTCACGTTCTTCTCTTTCTCGTTCTGCTTGTTTTCTTAACCTTTCCTCTCGCTTTCTTGCCAGTTTTGAGTCGGGCACAGGTTTGAAAGTAAGGTCTGTTCTAGTACAAGAATTATAGTCACCTCGGTTCCAGTGCCTCAAAAATCTGAAAAATAGACCATATTCAAATAAAAACAATTCACATCTGATTAATTGAATATTTACTAACGACTTCTATATAAAAAAGATCCATACTAACATAGCACTCTGACTTCGATGACATTCTGTATCCTCTATTCTAGGCTCAGGTGAAGGTCCCCTAGGTGGGGCCACTGGACTGCTCTGACTCTCCTCTTCTGGCATAGGAGGATCCAGATCAGGTTCGACTTTGATTACCTCATCAGGAATCACTTTGATAGGCTGGTTCATAGGTGATGAAGGTGGATGCATGATTGTTTGTTGTTGCTGCTGCTGCTGTTGTTGCTGTTGTTGTTGAGCAGCAGCCTGGACTGCATGAGCCCTCAGAGCGTCTACTGAACTCGTTCCCATTGGAGGTGGGCCTTAACAAGTAACAAGTTTTCAGTTCTCTGAATATGGTAACAGAGTAAGGAGGGACAAATTGTGATGAGGTTTTATTGAATGCAAGATACTTAAGAAGAAACTACAATCGATAAAAAGAAAGATATTTTTTTGTGCACATGGGGGCGGGCTCGCCATCAAGTTTGGCATTTGCTGTTATACCATTAATGTACTTAAAACGAGGATCAGTATATACATCCAGTCACTTCAAGTCTAGTCACTATAATTCTTCAGAATGTATTTCAACATACTCAATCCCGTTCACACGAATTTATATACTTTGCATTATTTTATTTTTAGTTTTTGTCTTTTTACTGTTAGTCTTGAAACATGTTTGTATTACTATTTCATATTAGGACATGTCCTACTAAATAAATAAAGTTCTTATATTTATATGCAATTACTCACCTAATGGTGACGGATGGTGGCCCATATTAGGTGGTTGTATCATCAAGTGATGAGGGTTGGCCTGTGGAGTTGGAGTGATGACATTATCGATATAAAGATTCAATGACAGCTGTTCATCTTGCAGTTGTTTTAAACGATATTTGCTACCTATTAACATGCATTTTGTTTTATTAACATTTAACTTGAGGCTGTTGTCACACAACCACTCGTTTATATTTAATAGTTCCTCATTTAAACATTCGGAGATTTCATTAGTCGTCCCAGAACAGTACAACATAGTGTCTTCGGCCAAACAGTTTTATCTTACACCTTTTAACATGTATCACAATATCATTTATGTACAGCAAGAATAGCGGTGGACCCAATACTGACCCTTGAGGGACTCCAGAAATTACATTTAAAGAACTTGATGTCACTTGATTGTATTTAACTAGCTGCTTCCGATATGTGAGGTAATTTGTGAACCATTGTAATACTTTATAATATAGTCCATACTTATTTAATTTCATTAAAAGTAACTCAATGTTGACCGTCTCGAATGCCCTTTAGAAATCCAGAAAGACAACACCTATAATACGTTTTTTAGATAGCTCAACTTTCCACAAAGAGATTAAAAATTGCAGTGCAGTTTCACATGAATGGGATTCCCTAAATCCAGATTGTTCTTTAATCAAAATATTATGTTTTGCTATAAATTTCATCAATTGCTCTTTCACTGTGATTTCTAATATTTTCTCATAAATTGGCAGGGTATTTATGGGTCTAAAATCAAAATCAAATTTATATGCAATTACTCACCTAATGGTGACGGATGGTGGCCCATATTAGGTGGTTGTATCATCAAGTGATGAGGGTTGGCCTGTGGAGTTGGAGGTTTACTATGCATACTGTGGCGTAGTAACTGATTTCCAGGTGACAATCTGTCATGATGTGAATGAGTATGATGATGTGTGTGTTGATGGTTACTAGCGGAACTTGAAGAGGAATGGTTCAAGCTTCCAGACGTCTAAAAAAATAAAAATAAAAATGTAATTCAATCATTTTAAAATTTCCACTTCATTGTTCACCTGGGAAGTTGATTGATGTGGTGAACTACTCCTCACAGTTTTCTGATTCACCTTGTGCTGAACGCTTTGGCTGGAACTTGTTGATGTGCTATGCGATATCGTAATGCTATGACTGCCTCCATAATTGTGCTTTTCAACTGTGGCATGCACCGAACTATTGTGTGATGTACTCTGATGATTTGTTAAGGTCATCTCATGTGTTTGATGTCTCTCACCTCCATTTTCATCTGGTTCCCTTGTTTCCCGCTTGGAGGTTAGTGTACTGCTGGTACTGTGTTGAGTAGACATCAGAGTCGCACTTACGGTGTCAATAGACTTTGGGGCAAGTCCTATATCCTGACGACTCGTTGGTGGGGGAATAGCATGGGGTTGTGGCACAACAGGATACGAGTATGAAGGATAAGAAAAAGGATAACCTGAATAAGGATGATGACCGTGGAACTGCATTTGTAAAAATGAAGGATGAACTAGGTGTGGATGAGGAGGATGCATTGAATTATAAGAACCATGCGGCTGATTTGGATGAGGCTGAGGAAGAGATGACGGAGGTCCTGAGTTTGGACTTATAAGGTTCATAGCTGAATGTGGTGAATTGGTACCTGAAAGCATTTTTTTTGCTGGGGAGGAGGAAGATATCCAGGAATCTGAAAGAAGTGTCAAGATGAAAAATAAAAAATGTTTTATATATTCTTCATTGTAAATTCAACTCGAGAGATTTGCGAATGTAACCATGCATTGTTACAAACGTGTTGTTAAGACTTTTTGGACATACACCACCTGCAATATATTTTTATATTTCCGATAATTCATTCACGAGTTCACCCTCATCACCGAACAATAAGTTACATCAAGTTTTTTTGCGATTTTTTGAGATTGTTACACAATATGTAAATAAACATTCTTTGAATGTATAGAAGTTTAAATAAAATATCCCTCAAGTTATATCAATGTCACAAAGTTGAAAAAACTTATGAATTTTGACAAAGTTATGCCAGGAATCTCAAATTTTTTACATTAATACATTTTTGTCAAAGCCTTTGTTTCAGAAAGAAATGTAAAATTAAACATTATTCATGAGAGTTCTCCTAGAGAAAGAAAAATTATATTCAGAGTAAAGCACATGTAACAAGTCCAATTATTAGTTTATATATAAATAACATATCAGCATCTCTATTATCATACTCAAAGAGATGAGATGGAGGATAATCAATACAAACATATAAATATTGTCCCCAATTTGGATAATCCTTTGATATACATAAAGTCTCAAGAATTTATTTTGAATTATTTACATAACAGTGTACTAATGTCCATAGAAAAGTGACCAATAATTTACCATTATCCTAACCATGGAAAAACTAAAGACATGGACTTTATCAACAGCTGCCTATAGTTTTGGGTCATGAAAAATAATTTTGCCACATTGACAATGATATGTGAACAATAATATATACGTCTTTAACTGAAGTCACATGTGTCAACTGCCTCAATGGAATACATATAAATAGAAAATAATTTAAACAAAAAGTTACTTTCTGCCAAAATTTATGAGTTTATATCCTGAAGATAAATATGAGTGGTGCTTGGAAAATGAAAGTATGAAAACTCAAAACCCAAGAGATTCATGCTGAATCTATTGAAAACACGTTTCCCATCAGAACAAAATTACAGTCTCTCAATGCGCGTTTCGCTAAGCAAGTTAGCGTCCTCAGGAAATCATTATGACTCAGTCATAATAATCTCCTGAGGAAGTTAACTTTGTTAGCGAAACGCGCGTTGAGAGACCACAATTTTGTTCTGGTGTTGGGAAACTGTTTTCAATAGATATAAATAAAATACATTGCAGCAGTTTTTTTGAACTCCAGCGTTCTTTACGTATTTGGAAAAGAAATTGTTATGCTAGTGAATAATACTAAGATGTCTGACACTGAGGACGTTCAGTGTGTGTACTCTAAATGAAATACATTTAAATGTTGCAAAAAGAAGATTTCATATTTCGTGTGTATCAGATGTTTCAATATATACCATAAAAACTGTGCTTTGCGAAAAAAAAAAAAGATTCAACATTTGGTGATGACAATACAATAGTGTGATGCAGAATGGGCTCATTTAACAATTTTTTTTTATTTCATTATTTGAATGTTTGTTTCAAATAGTACATCTGCAAAAAATCTGAAATTTCACTCTTTTATCTTCCCCCTCAAATTAATAGTTGAATGTGGTCAAGCTTGATGTCACATCAGTCGACTCGGCGACAAGGGAGTGCTGGCGGTGATGGCAGCGATTCATGGCAGCGATTCATAATCTCCAACTACAGGCTCGGTTGCCACCGCTCCAAGCTCGTTGCCTGGTGTGACGTCAAAATGTATCGCGGGCGATATCACATTTTCTCTTGCTCAGTTGTTAATTGATATAAAAACCGGAAAACTTTGTGGGATACTTGGGAGATGATTTACTTTTATGATGTATAATTTTCAATAAAAATCTAAATTAGCCTAAATGAGCCCATTGAAGAAGTCAACAAGTAACTTTAAAAGTTATTTGGAATATTAGTTAAATAAATGAACTGGATACGGAAAAAAACTGTATTAGTAATGTGCTTGGGATGGAAAAGGAATTCCTGAGAAGAAAATTAAATTGAAGTGCAGTTAAAACAAATACTATAGAAACCCAAATTGACAAACAGCAGATAATCAAGGGAACCGCCCAACATGACTACCAATCGGAAATTGAAAAAATTGAAATGAATTCCTTTTAACAAAAAATAATGACTAATAAGCTTTACGATGAACTAGATATCTTTGACATTAACAAACTACATATGCACCAATGCTTGCTATATATGCATAAAAATACAAAACCAACAATAAATCACAATAAAGCTATCCCAATCCGATTTATTACGACACTATCAATTGATATACCATTATTTAGAAAAAGTCACTTCTGTACAGGATTATATTATATTATTATATTATCTGTAACAATCTGTAAAAAATGACAATTATGGAATGGATGAATAAAGTTTGATTTGATTTGTTCATTTACAAACAACCTGGTGTTCAACATGTGTTATTGGAAACACAATTGAACAGATTGTTTCACAAGAGGTATTTGAAAAATATGAAAAAATATTGAGCATGAAGCTGAAATCGGTAACCAAAAACAATAATTAGAGGATATCTGCAACATGAACATAAAAATGAGCAATACTGAAGACAGGAATAAAAATAGAAATAAAATTGAAAAAAAAACTCAAGAGAAAGGTATGTCATATCAAAACGTATCCAAAGAGGATACTCGTTTCTGTGGTAGGGAGTAGCAAATGCATACACATTGGAGAAGACTTCTCTGAAAAACCATGTAGTAAAGATATTTCTGAAAAACAATCTGTTGAAAATAGATGTGTTGATGTTCAAGTTGAAACCAATATTATGGCTACATCTGGTGATAAAACAGTACCACTCACTATCACTATCAACTTTATTGTTCAGAAAAATTTTTATTTTTGAATACCCAAAAAACTTCCCCTGGGTTCTAAAACATACCATAGGTGAAGGCAATTTTCAAGTAACAGAAATGCTTAAATCGAATATAGAACTTGCTGACTTGGTAAAAAATGTATTCCATGAAACTATCTTTTTTTCAGGTGACTATTACTGTCATGGTCAATACTTGGAGAGACAATGTTGTCAACACTCAGACAAATGTTGCCATTGAGCAATTACACTAATGTTTCAATAATTTTTGAAATTGTTTTCATGATCAAATCTTAATAAATTTACTAAACAAAATATCCAGCTTCCGAACACATAATTATAGTTCTCCCTTGAAGTTTTTGGTTGATAACCGTGTGAATAGAAGTAAATTTGACATACTTGAGATAGTTAAGTATTCCTTATCGGACCCAAAAAAATGTTTTGCTTTAAATCAGTCAATTATATTACAAGTTCAGAAAAGCATTGGAAAGTGTAAGACCCAGTGATACTAAGAAATCATTTGTATACAACCACATAGAATCCCTAGGTAAATCTTGAACTCATACTCTCAATCTGTAGAATATGCCCTTAAGTTTTTGCTTCAAAAGGTTTGTCACCTTAACGTTCAAGGATTTTTGAAAAGTTTTAACAAAGTAGAATTATTTGTCAAAGCAAATAAGATAATCATTTTCAAATAATAATTTTAATGTGTTATTCATATGTATTCCTTTTATGTGTTCAACATTTCATTTGCAATGTATATTTCTTTACTTTACTTTTGGGTTTAGGGTAAAAACTGTTATCATAAGTGTTCAAGACCTCCAAATAGAAAATTGTTTTTTTTATTCATTATTGCAGACATTGAGGCTAGCTAAGACAATTACACATAAAATTATTTTTTGTAGTGATTTCAATAGATTGCTTAATGAATAGTATTAATCAAATTATTGAGACTTTTTTCTTTCATTTCAATGGAAGACTGATTTATTATAGGATATTCACCAATATTAATGATCAGACAAGTAAAACATGTATTGAAAGATACCAAATTGTTAATCTACCTTACTGAAGGATACCAAATTCTTCTGTATAATACTAGAAGTGAAAAAAACATTATTAATAAGAATGCCCAAACGGTTAATGTTGAGATCACTTCTGTTTCTAGTTTATGTCAATGACTTGCCGTATTCAATGAACTTCTCAGACATAGAAACTACATTGTATGCGATGATGCAACAAAAAAATTATAAAACGATTCTGGATACTGGAGAAAGCTCCGACATAATACGTCATCATCTTTTACAATAAACTGACTATTGATGTCTTTTGTGAATGGTCCAAATCTTTTTTCAAAAAATACAAATATAACTAACAGGAATACTTTAATGATAATATTTTGTACCAAAAATGGTCAAATAAATCATTATCATCATTATAATTTTCACCAAATTAGTTTTTATTCAAACAGTCTATTTGATTTTCTTGTCAGTTAGTTGTAACAATCAAAATTGATAGAATAAGAAATATTTGTATAATTTCTCAGTTTGGAAATGAGTTAGTAAATCGGTTGAATGATAAATAAAAAGTCAATAATATACAATGATTAAAAATTAAGGGAAATTGTGGTGAAGAATGAAAAATTTCAAGCCAAGTTATTTTAAAGTAATTCTTCTACTTATCTTTCATCCCATTTCCATTTCAGGTCACTATAATTTGTTATATTTACAAATTAGCATTCTTATACTTTTATTTCTTCTTTCTTTGATATTTTCTTTTTCAACTAATCTGAATATTTCGGTCCTAGCAATTTAATTTCACTCATTTTTTCTACTCCTAGATTTCTGATCTGTTTACACTAACATTTAAAAATAGGCTGAATAACATACCTTAACATCTTTCAAACTCTGCAGAGGATCTGCCATCGGAGGTTGCAAATGACTTGGAGGATTAACAAATCCTCCAGGAGTAGCCATACTTGAACTTGTCAGATTTTGTGTACTCTGAGACATTGCTATATTTTGCGGTTGCTGCCCAGGACCCGAAGATAAAGCATTTTGTGCAAAAGTATTCAAACCACTTAGATGGTTAGGTGGTAAGTTCTGACTGCTTTGACTCAATGGAATATCTGGCACCTCTTGTTTGATCTTCAAGTTCTGTGGCTCATTCTGATTCTGTGGTAAATGTTGTTGATTTTTCTCCAAGTTTCTTGGGCTCTGAGGATGGTTGAACGGTGACAGCCCAGACATGAAACCATAGTGACTTATTTGAGGTTGTTGAGACCCTCCTATTGTCACTAAGTTCCCAGACTGCATTAAGCTTGGTAATGGAGGTTGTCCTATTGGTGCAGAGTTGATGCTTACCATATCTGATCGTTCTGACCTCTCCATACGTTCAGGTCTATCAATCCTCTCTGGCCGTTCAAGCTTCTCTACCCGTTTTTCTTCTTCATAGTGGGATTCCTGTCTCAAATTAGGTGGGATACTTTGTGACATTGGTATAACTTGAGGAATATTTAGAGGTTGCGACAGATTTCCATATGGCTGAGGATCACTTCTAATTTGACTGGTGAGTTCAATAGGCTCATCTCTAGGTTCCAGCTTAATAACAGTATTATTCACACTATTTATTGTAACAGCAGTAGTGGCATTAGGATCTTTATTTAAAGGTGGAGGATTTTGGTAACTATATGGTTCATGTTTAAGATCTGTAACAAAACTAGAATGATTCATCTGAACTATTTGTTCCTTATGTTTGTCCACTGGTGCTTCTTTCAGGTTCATATTGTGCTTGGGAGGTAAATGATTCATGATTGGCGAGTCTTTCATACCAAAGGACATAGGTTCCTTCAAATTTATATTTAGATTCTGAGGCATGAATAAGTTTTCTTTATATGGATTTTCTTCCTTAGGAATTAAGCTGGCATTCAAATTCATTGAATTCAGATTTATTTCCTCATTAGATGAATCCAATTCTTCTTCTTTTATCAAAGGTTTTTCCATAGGATGAACTTTAGGTATGATCAGTTCCGTTTTGAAAGGCTTTTCCTGCAAGACGGAAACAGGTTGGGGAACTATGCACTCTTTCATTTCTTCTTTGTCATTTTCAATTTTTTGTTGTGAGTCTTGTTTGTTAGGATTTTCGAATTTGTATTCATACTGCTGAGGGACAAACTTGGTTTCTGGGTTGATTTTAAGACTTTCTGGATTGAATTTCATATTATCTGGATTATACAGTTTTGTTTCTGCCATGAATTTCATATCCTTCATATCCAGAGCACTGTCGAGATTACGCTTGATAAGGTTTTTCCGTTCGTTCAAGTCATCAGGTAATCTTATTGATACATTAAGAGGCATTGGTTCAGGGCAACTCGACAGGTGAAGCTTTGCCGAACTGATTATGTTCACATTGGGAGTACTAGTTGGAGATGGAATTGGAAGTTTCATCTCCGAAGAGTCAATATGATCTTGTGCTTTCGAATGAGTTTCTTGAATCATCACATTGTTGTTTGACGATAATGTAGTAACAGCCGATGAAATCTATAAAAATTTGTGGTCATACATTAAATAAAAATGACTTCAGATAAAATAACTTACAACAGAAAGAGTAGTTGAACAAGTCACCATTGAACAAGGAGCACCAATCTCAATATTCTCATTCTCGTTCTCAGCATTTTCAACATCATCATTAACGGTTTCAGAATCTGTTGTTAAACTACTCGGACTTTCTGCTCTCTCACGTTTTTTCTTAAGGGTTCCGTCTTTATCATCACTTTCATTTTCTTCGGATTTAAGTTCCTGTGTTCTTTTCCTGTTCTTGATGGGTGATTCTTGTTTATCTGGCTTATTCTTCTTTTTAGCAGGTGTGTTTGGTTGGTTTGGTGTAACTTTTTCTGTAGTGGAAACGTTTTGTTTAACAGGTGTTTTGGGCTCAGGAGTCTCCGTACCCCCACGTTTTGGACGTGCACGATTATTTGTTTGTTCTTTTGCTTTGTTTCTTGTACGCATGCGTTGTGGACTGGCATCAGGGCTTTCTAGAGTGGACAATTATTTAGATGATTTTGATTAATATAAGGTACACAATGTATAAATACTAAAAAACAAGTACATTCAAAATGGATCTCTTATACTTTAAAAATAAAATATAACTCGATTTTTTTAAATATTTCATTATTAATGTTTTTTGAGGTTACTAAACAAATATCTTCGTTTCAACCAAAAAATACCCATGCATGCCAATTTTTGCAGATCCATTTTGTAGAAATAATTTTTGACTTGAAATTTTCAGCTCTATATAACAGACTCAAATACTTTTTGCTTCTCAACTCCCAATTTTGGCCATCTTTCAGAATTTCTATAAGTGCCCTATTTTCATGATCCCCGCCCTATGAAATTTTCAATTTCTGATATTCGAATAACTCAATAATTATCTTATAACTTATATTTACTGAATACTTTACCTGTTGACGGAACATTACCCCCGGCTGCAGGTGCCGTGAGGGGAGGAAGCTCATTTGTTTTCTTGTAGTGTGTTCTGCAATCCAAACAGAGTAACTGCCTGTCTTTACCACCAGGTTGCCAATCTTTTGAATCTGAATAAATTACAAAAATTTCATAAATATTGTAGAAGATAAAATATTAAAGTTACTCAATGTCAAATTAAAATTATCACAAATGAAATAATTCTGACCCATATTACAAAAGTTACCAAAGCTAAAATTTAAAATATTTTCTATGAATAGTGTAGTCGAACCTATAACAATTTGTTCAAACAACTAATCAAGTCAATATATATCTCAGATCGGAAAGCAATCCATGTCTTGTTCGAAATTTGAATATATTAGGTTGCTCCAAATGTTTTGTCCGTTTTAGTATCATGTGTTTTTGTATCTCCATATCTCAATAAATATTTATTCTACTGTATCCTGGTATTTACTGTTCAATAGAGAATTTTGTACTCTCTACATTGATGCTGTCCTTTTTTTGCCAAATTTAAATTTTTTGCTTCTTTTCAGCTTATTACTTTATGATGTTAAGAGATTATAGGACAAATTTTCTTTACAAATTCAACTTGAATGAAAGCACTGCCGAAACAGCCCGAAAAGTAACCAGGCATTCGGTAATGATAGTGTTGATAAACCTGGTGGAGACTGACCAATCACAATCAGTGTGTGGGATGGCGGAAGAATTGGGTGTCAGGTCCCACGCGGTTTTTGATGGTATGAAACATCACTGTAGTAGACTTTGCCAACAAGATGTTCAAATCTTGGGTATTTTGATTTGATTTGATGATTTTATTCTTGTAACTCCAAACAAGGATTTCTGTATTCTTGAGTTGACATAAATGTACTATATATAGTATGTAAAATGGTCAAATAAAGTACTCTCTCTTTATAAATCAATGTTCCATTTATTTATTTACGACTGCATACAAACGGGTAGAGCCAATTTGCCTGAGTGTGAATATAAGTATCTAAATAAGTCAGGTTTTGCTTATTTCAGTGTTCATAGCAACCCTGCGAAACTATACATAAACAGATATGAATATTGAAAAAAAAATTAAATCTGACATCACATAAATAAAATCACAACCCAACAAACTTTCTTCCAAATTAATTTTTGAATTGTTGCAGTTCCCACAAAAGAACAAAAATACTGTCTTTCGTCGCACGTTTCGCTAACTAAGTTAACGCCATCAGGAGATGACTAGTAAGGCATAATAGTACTAGATTTGAAAGAATATATGAAATGTTAAGAAGATTTTACAGCGGGTTGTAGAAATATTTGGAGGCAGCCGTTCACTATCAAGAAAAAATGGAACAAAAACAAAAGAAGAACTGAGCAATTACAAAAGGAAACATTAAGAACAGCAAATAAAATAAAAGAAATTGACACCTTCAAAATTCAAAATTGAAATCATTGTCTTGAATATTTTGTTAACAGGAGTTAGTCAAGCTTTGCTTTGTTTTAGCCAAAATATGTTTGCACTTACTCGTTGTAAAACAGTGTGAACACCGATACTGTGCTTCTCGACTATCACTGTCATCTTCACTATCATTATCATCTTCGGTTACTGAACTCGTTTCTCCAGGTTCTTTACTTGGTTGGGGTGATGGTCGATTATTCTCATTCTCCTGGGGAATGTTGCGCCCTGAGGCATTCAAATAATGAGAAATGATAATGATGATATAATAACTAACAATTTTTTTAATGCAATATTCAAATTTGATGTTCAGTATTGAATAACTTTATATCTATCTATGATTCTATGACGATTATTTGTTATCATAATGGTGATTCAAATAAAGTGTTAGTTATTATACGGATGTTTCTTGAATAATTACAAAGTTATTGACAAAAACTAAATAAAACCCAAATAAATTATACACTACTCTACAAACTACTGAAATATACAGTATGTTGTTAAGAATTATTTCTGTTTTGTATTTGCTACATGTCAAAGATGACATGTGATCTCCAGAAACAGTCTGTATATTTCATAAGGGTGGCCTAAAAATAAAAATTTTGATATGTTCCTAAAATAAAGGTATTCAAATAACTTTTCAAAACTATAATGCACCAAAGACTACTACTATGAATTACATAAATTTTTAGTTAGTTTAAAGTGTATGAGGAGTATAGTTTTAGAACTGGTCATTGTAGATGGAATTTAATGAAGAAAAGATGCATAAAGAATATAACGACTGAAGATTTTGAACTTACTGAGCCACATCACAACAATTATTTAGACAATTAGATTAGCATGCAAAAATACATTTTACAAACATCAAACAATACTACTACTCTTATGAAAAAAAATGTAACTAACTACAAATAGTCACTGTGCGGTGACTATTTGTCTCAAGTATTGTTCTTAACCTTCCACTATTCACGCTAAGATCCATAGAACCTGTCAATTTCAGTATTCAGATATTTAAGCGGTAAAGTACTGTTTTGACCTAACTTCAGTTCTGTTCTCGACAGTGGTGAGTTGCACCAAAAATAATTGTATACTTTTTGAGTTACCAAGCGTTTAGATCTAACAATCCCGTGTGACTAAGTACTTATGCTTCATTTTTTGATTTGCAATTTTTTTTATTGGTGATTTAATCTCCTTAAATATCATATCATATTCATATCAGATGAATTCTGAGAAAGAACAAGATCTTCTTTTTTGATGAAATTTTAGGTGACAAATGATCATATTTTTATGAAAGTTTTAGAGGAAAGTGATACTTAATAAGTTAAAGACATGTCTGATGATGAAACTGTCGATTAGTCACAACATATTCGAATTCTATCATTTATTGAAAAGAACGGTGAAACAATTTGGGAGAAATGGATGTTTATAAACTTTGTGCTTCACAAGATGTAACAAAATACACGCTCTTGGCTGGAAAGCAATAAATGAATAATGTATGTATGCGCCTGAGAGCGAAAAATACCCTGTTTCTAGAAGAATGCTGTTGGAAGAACTTGCATCTATGCTCACATTGCTTACTGAAGAAGCTTCGACCACAACAAAAAAAATTACAATAGCCACTGGAGTAAAAAAACAATGTATTTCTAGATAGAAAAGTAATCTACGTCGGACACATGCCCAAACACTATATATCCCAATTGTTCAGATGGCATTCAATTTCCATGAAATTTTAACAAACATAATTATAAAGATTTTTTATGACTTATCTTGGCACAAGTTATTCATATATTTTTTATGAAATTTAGACAGATATTATTCATAGTAAAGCTACACAGTGTGATACATGAAAGAGTGCTGATGCAATATGTTACATGGAACACCATCATTCCCATTGGTGAATTTCGGGACAAGATACGTATCGTATCACCTCCACAGCACAAGACTAAGCAGTCAGTACTTTCATACGTTATAACTTTATGTCACTGAAAGAGACAAATCTGCTTTTGTCATGAAGGCAGTACGTATACATATTTATAGGTACTGAACTGAAACAAATTTCTGTGTATAATCTACATATATTCACTAAGTTTTTATTCTAGTTATTTTTTTTTTTTTTTTTGAAAGCTTGCCACAGTTTTTGTTTAGCGATTTAGAAGTAGAAAGCCGAAAAGATTTTTTCCTAGTAGTTGAGTTATGCTAATCAAATGAAAAGAAAATTTTTCTTGTACTTCTGGCATGGAAAACTTCAAGGTTCCTAGGATTATCGAAAAGCTAAATGAAATATTAAAAATTAACAAGACTTTACTATTGCAAGAAATCATAGCGAAACAAAACAAAAACAAGAATGATAATAACATGAATGAATTCGGGAAATCCAAGAAAGGCGAAATAAAGAAGCAAACATAATAATATGCAACTTCCAGGAATCTGTTTAAAAAATCTGTTCAAAATCTGTTATTCCGTTAACCAGCTGTCGCCCCCCCACGAACGACAACCCTCAGAAGTCGAAACTTGTGCGAGCTAAGGATTAACGAGGTCTTACCTTTTACGTGTGATTCCTAACACAGAGAGAATAACCATTTGGCAAGGGCAAAGAGTGATACTGAAAACGTAAAAAAAAATCTTGGCGGACTCACCGATCAAGTAACCATAAAAAATAATTTTGGCTTGGAAAATACGCCCTTGATAGAAATAGACCATTGAAAATTGTACTGAAGAACAATGAAGAAGATATCTATATTTTACAAAATAAAAGAAACATAAACATTCCTGGTATAATAATCTTTGGTGGCCAAACAAAAAGGCAAAAGGAATATTATTCATCAATCAAAAGTAAACTGAATGAACTAATAAATAATGACGAAACTGACAAAACCATTAAATACATAAATAATATTCCAACGGTTGTTGTCAAGTCTCCAGTAAAAAAAAACTAATCAAGACATGCTCTCAAGTTTGAACTTCTCTTTATAGAATGTATGTATGTATTTAATAATGAAAAAAAACATGAGTTTGTTCTAATGACTAATAAAGTTTCCAGTATCTTCCTGATCTAAGATTATTTACAGGTGTTGGCAGATAGTTTTTCCTAATAGGGATTATAGTTGAGGTATGTTGAACCAACAAAATATATATCTAGTTGAATTTTTAATCAAAATGAAAACTTGTAGATTTGTTTCATCATATGATTATAAAACATTTTATATTTCTTCTATTATAATCATATGGACTAAGAAGTTGCCCATTTTCAAAATTTCAGGTTTTGAAGCCAATGTGACATTGAATATATTCAAAGGTGCACAAAACATCCACATTTCACGCCGACGCTTTCTACTCACGAGACTTCTGATGTCACTATATTTGTACAAGACTGTTGCACGTGTGGTTGTCTGAATTTCTAACATTTCTCTCACTCTTCAAAACTGTGGTTTTCTAAAAATATTTTGCAGATAATGAACTATGAAGAGTTGTTTTCACATATAAAAAACCACATGTGGTCTATTGAAAAGAGATCTAGGTCATATACTCAACACTAATTTATTAAATCATATTTTTTGTCAATTTAACTTCAAGAAGGAGGACTTTGTAAAGCAATTTCTGCAACATTCATACCATTATTTCACAAAAAAACTTCTTAATTTTATATGGGGTACTATTTTTGTGAAACCCAGTAGTTGTTTTGAAACCCAGTAGAGATATTTTTTTGTGAAAAAAGCCTTTCGGCTTTCTATTTCCCCATCATTAAACAAAACATGAGAGAGAATTCCAATGAAGAATATAACTACAATGAAAACTGTTTTATGAACATACTTTTGTATCATACTCGTACACACAAGTTTCTTTCAGATACAAACTGGAAGAAACACTTTTAAAGCAACTAATTTCACATGAACTTTCTATTACACGAAAGCAAAAAGTCCTTTTTAAATAACTTCTTGATATAAGTACACTGAACTACTCGAAAATCACTTTTTCCCATTCATAAATTTTTTATGAAATTTAGACAGATATTATTCATAGTAAAGCTACACAGTGTGATACATGAAAGAGTGTTGATGGAACACCATCATTCCCATTGGTGAATTTCGGGACAAGATACGTGTCGTATAACCTCCACAGCACTACAGTCTTGTAGTGCAGTCAGTTCTTTCATACGTTATAACTTTATGTCACTGAAAGAGACAAATCTGCTTTTATCATGAAGGCAGTACGTATACACATTTATAGGTACTGAACTGTAACAAATTTCTGTGTATAATCTACATATATTCACTAAGTTTTTATTCTAGTTATTTTTATTTTTTTTTTTTTGAAAGCTTGCCACAGTTTTTGTTTAGCGATTTAGAAGTAGAAAGCCGAAAAGATTTTTTCCTAGTAGTTGAGTTATGCTAATCAAATGAAAAGAAAATTTTTCTTGTACTTCTGGCATGGAAAACTTCAAGGTTCCTAGGATTATCGAAAAGCTAAATGAAATATTAAAAATTAACAAGACTTTACTATTGCAAGAAATCATAGCGAAACAAAACAAAAACAAGAATGATAATAACATGAATGAATTCGGGAAATCCAAGAAAGGCGAAATAAAGAAGCAAACATAATAATATGCAACTTCCAGGAATCTGTTTAAAAAATCTGTTCAAAATCTGTTATTCCGTTAACCAGCTGTCGCCCCCCCACGAACGACAACCCTCAGAAGTCGAAACTTGTGCGAGCTAAGGATTAACGAGGTCTTACCTTTTACGTGTGATTCCTAACACAGAGAGAATAACCATTTGGCAAGGGCAAAGAGTGATACTGAAAACGTAAAAAAAAATCTTGGCGGACTCACCGATCAAGTAACCATAAAAAATAATTTTGGCTTGGAAAATACGCCCTTGATAGAAATAGACCATTGAAAATTGTACTGAAGAACAATGAAGAAGATATCTATATTTTACAAAATAAAAGAAACATAAACATTCCTGGTATAATAATCTTTGGTAGCCAAACAAAAAGGCAAAAGGAATATTATTCATCAATCAAAAGTAAACTGAATGAACTAATAAATAATGACGAAACTGACAAAACCATTAAATACATAAATAATATTCCAACGGTTGTTGTCAAGTCTCCAGTAAAAAAAAACTAATCACTCTGCATCCTGTTATACCCTTCTGTAGTGAATTCTTATACATGAATATCCAAAATCTTGTAGTCAATCACAATCAGCTTGTTCAGGATATAATATGCTATCAACAACAGTCATACTGCTCAATGAATCACATACAACAGTTGATATAATGGATATCAAAATTAAAATAGATGGCTACGGAATAGTGAGATGTGATTCACAGGGTCGCTACACTGGAGGTGTAGTGTTATATGTTCATGATATCCAATGGACTGTCTATAAAAACATATCCGTAGACAGAATATATTGGTGCTTGGCTATTAAGCTGAAGTTCCAACAAAGAGAGGTATTAATTGGATGTCTGTCCCGTTTCGCCTAGCTCAGATTTCAATATGTTTCTGGATTAACAATAATCCCCCACCTATTAATTGTGAGATAATTAAATTCAAATTATTGTCAATGTCAGAACTTAGAACTATTATTAGAAGCTTTGATAACAAATGTAACTCCATTTATATAAACAACAAAGTACTTAAAAGTGTGTTTGAGGCAACAAGTCAAGAAGAGTATTTCGACTATGCCACTGAAGATGACTGCCGCAGTTGCAGTCGAAACGTTTAGAGATTGCGACTAAAGAAGACCACGGCAAAACCCGAAAACCATCCATTTGTTCAATATGGATCAAAATTCTCCTACCTATTATTTTCTCGAAGAGATTCCAAAAAGAGGAAATCAACAAAATCTTCCTGTAATATTTGATGTATAATATTTTACCCCGAGTATTCGATATTTGTTTTGTTGTAGTATTAACATGTAAAAAATCACTTGTTTTCAAGGTTTGGAGACCTGAACTATTAATCTCATATCTATTCACTTACCACATCCAAAGCATTGATTGTAGTATCATCTCTCGAAGCAGCATTGGCACCATCTTCAGGACACCCTCCATCGCACATTCCGGCAAAAGCTGCCATAGACCTAGCAGCTCGTAAATACATGAGTAGATCAGTATCAAGAGTCATGGCAGGCACCCATCTTATCTCTTCACGAACGTGTGTCTCTTCTGGATCAGGCGACAGCTGTTCTGGTGGTACACCAGGCCGGTAGTCTGGTAAACGGGCCTGCAGGGAGATGCAAGACTAATGCTGGCACTATTTGTAGTGAAAGGGAGATTTCTACTTGACGAAATGACTGATAAACACCCTCAAAGCAAGAATAGAGCAATTTCAATTCATAATCTGGGACGGTCACACAAACTGTATTTTTTCTGTATGGATCTGAAGTGAGAGTGGAGCTGTGTATATGTTTCAAAGATTGATTTTGAAATGCCTTTTTTTTAGATCATCATTTAGCTCATTGAATACTTCAAGTCTCACTGCAGAAAAATTCAATTGATAATTTGAAACACCAAACCTAGTTACATAAATAATAAAGTGTCTCCTAGAAAATGATATATCCATTCTGACATATTGTGAAAAGCAGATTCTGGTGAATACAGTAGTGAAATACTTTGAGGAAATTTTTTGTAGTCAAATTACGAAACAAAATCTACATCCAAATTTTGAACCATATTTTATGTAGAATTCCACATGCAAGTACCAAAAATCGTGCAACCAAATGGCTAAGTTCATGCCAATTCTATTAATAACTTGATTAGAGAAGTATTTTATTTCAAATAATAATGGAATGTGATAAGTACATGCGAATTTTCACCTTCACTTCATATGTTTACTATCGGGGGAATCCCTTACACATATGAACATTTCCCTGATTATGGTAATAAATATTATCGATAACATTAGTCACTGAAATACTCGCTTAGTCTTGTGTAAAACTAATTCTCATTTGGTGAACAGTAGACGTATATCTTAGTTCATTTTCAGAATTACTTCTCTAACCAGTAGGAAGACAGATAACTTAGAATCATTAAGAATTTAACTTTTTCAAAATGTAAATACTTATTGAATATAAAAAGGTTCAATATTTGATGGATTTAAGTCAGATATTTTAAACGGGTGTTATAACAAATGTTGAAATTAAATATATTATCTATTCGCAAGATCATTAAATCATCAAACCCTTTTAATTCATCAATATTACAATGAGTATCTGTGTTCCATGTTCTTTGAAAATTTGGTTAAAAAAATTTGAATGTTACCGTGTGTTTTGTCTCTCAACGTACATAAATGTCTTTTACCTGATTTCCAGGACCCACCCTGATTTCTCCTTGAGTGGTAGCCATAATTTCTAAATTGCTATTTGATTGTATGTCTCAGAAAACAAATGCAGATATAAAAAATATATACAGCCCCATGGTTCTGAAACAATGATGATTGTTAAATTGACCAAAAAATGAATTTGTGTCAAAGTACTTTTTTTATTTAGTCATACCATTTCTTTTATAGTAAGTTCACTCTCCGCCATATTTGGGTCAAGATTCCCCACCTCAAATTTCATGCTCAGCGAACCTACTGCGTAACCGACTGAATCTGATGGGTTTTCCAAGCGAGCCAAGTTGAGGCATGGAATATTATTACAGAGTGAGTCGTTGTAAGTGGTGGTTTTATATTTGCGAAAAATTCGTGTCTAGTTTCAAAGCTGTGTGTTACTGTAATTTGCAGGGATTTCCAATTGACGAAAAAATGTATGTTTTTCTAGTATTCATTATGTAAGATTGAAGGAATGAAGATATAACGAAAATCATAAAATAAATTGTTATAGACCAAATATATGCAGATCTTTTTTTATGAAATTAATTTGATGAAATTGAACTTTACAAATAGTATATGCCTCAAAAATAATTATACAAAATGACAAAACAATCGGAGTTCCACTGGAAATTCACAAAGCAAAATAATTGTTGAACCGCATATCTTTTATTGGCTAGTATGTATCTACAAGAAAAATATTACTTACACTGAAATCTCTGCAGAACCAAAGCATCAAATGTATATTCAAATAACCTTTTTTGGAGCCTATTGCTGCGAACTTTTTTACCAATTCATCCACATCAATACTGGATATAAAAAGAATTGTGATTGAAGCTATTAGGCAGTTATCAAAAATTGGATTAAGAGTTAGGGATATCATTTCAGATTTAGGTTTCAATTTTTATACACTTGCCAGAAAAGATGTCAAAATGACTGTAGAGCTGCCATATTTCTTTGTTGATGAGAAACAAATATTTTACTTTTTTGATACTCCTCATCTGCTGAAATGTAGCAGAAACCATTTTTTCGATGACTTTTTGAAATTTGATGAATTTACAACGAACATGAGTCATCTTAGACAACTTTACGACATGGATAAGGAAAAGCAATATAGACTAGCACCCAAACTTACTGATTCTCATTCATTTTCAACTAACTTTCAAATGAAGGTTAAATTAGCAAGTCAAGTTTCCGGTCATTCAGTTAGCTAGAGCGATGAATACTTATGCCAGTTTCAATCAGATACCATCAGCAGCAATAGGGACGGGTACATTCATTGAAAAAATGGATAAAGTGTTCGATATTTTGAATTCAAATCGATTTGACGATGTCAAACATTTCAATAAACCTTTTTTCGGAACATCAAAACAATTTGATTTTCTGAATGAAATGAAAATATTTCTTAGCAAATTAACTTTAATATCAAAAAAAGGAAAAAACACGACTGGACAAATGATATTCATTGAGGAGTGGCAGATAACAATTTCGGCATTTCTGAAACTTTGAGAAAACCTACATAGTGAAGGACACCCCTACATATTGACGAGGAATATAAATCAAGACTGTGTGGAAAATTATTTTGGTCAACAGATATATACTTGTGGAAATGCCAGGAACCTAACTCCTGTTCAAGTTACCAGAGCTTTCAAAAACACATTTACTTTTCAGTGTCTGTCTAGAAGATACTAGTGAGATTATATCTAATATTACAGATGCTGACAGAATTTTCTTATCATTTCTATAATTTATGTGCCATATCATTGCATAGGCAACCAGCTCAAAAAAATGTTTTCAAAAATCAACATTTCTCACCCTTGTGATAATTTTCTTTAGGATTATTTATTTTCCGTTTTCACAAGTGTAAGAATTTATTACACTTTGAAATTCGCCAATAGAAAATTGAAAACAAATGTTAAAAAATTCAAAAACTCATCATTCTGAAAAACCTTTAGAATAGATTAGCATGAGTTCTTGACCTAAATGATATAATCTCACCTTGTTTATAAACAAATTCAAAAACTCTCAATAACTTATGAACAATCAAACTGAATTAAATAATTCGCCATTTTTGAATCTATTCATTTCCAGGTAACAATAGTTAGGTATATTTACGGTACTTTCGAAAAATTTATTGATATAGTTGATGAATTCATACCTAATCGTTTAGAGCAGGGGTCTCCAAACTATGAAGCCTTCGGGCCATAATGATATTTTCAGTTTGTTCCAAGGGCCAATTTCTGCCCTTAACTATATTTCTATACTAGGATAGTCGCAAAGTGCGTGACCTAAGCAAACTTACGTTTTTTTTGCATTTCAATTATTATTGTGTATTGTGACACTTAACGACATCTAGTGGCGAGTAGTGGTACTAAGTAGTATCTTTTTCAGCAACCCGCTAGGTGGCATTAGGAGTAATTAAATATTTGGAATTACCGCGTTGATTCGAGAAAGTTCTGGTTCTAGCTAGTGTATTCCGATCATCTCGAGATGGCAGTAATAATTGCATATAAAAAGGCTAGCGGCTCAACTGCGAGTTAGTCTGCGTAGGAAAGGCGAAGGAAGCGAAACTGTCTATTGTGAAATAAAGTNACAGGAGATGTCGAAAGGTTTGATTATTTAAGTTATTGAAGTTTCTCTTATAGGTATATTTAGGCTCACTAATTTCTGAGGAAGTCAGTTTAAACGAGCATGTTTGGTATATCTGAGATATTAAGAGGGTTGAAATAATGGCCCAACTGGAAACTACCGTTATAATAACTCACAACCTAACAACACGGTTATTTGATTTGTGTTACTGATTTCCTGAATTTTAAAAAGTATATTTGAGTTTTTATAATGCATTATTTGTGCAGCTCTGCAACTTTTTTAGAAGAGTAATAAACAAAAATGTAAGTACAATGAATAAATGGGAAAAATGTATCAATTTTTTTTTATATGATCTGCTTGACCCCCCAGAACATGTTTGTTCTGGAAAGTTTTCGAAAGAGCATTCAGAATAATTTCTGTGCAATTTTTTCAATTGATCAATAAATCATTGATGTTATCATAGTGTCTTTTTAAAATAATTATATATTATTTTTGATTACTTTGTACTTACACTTACATTATGTCTACTACTATATATATTCTTCATTTGAGAATGTTCTGAAGCTTCCCAGAAAATTTCCTCACAATTGGCTATTGCACTATATTCTACACCTTCACCTTACAATAGATATTGCCTTTTGGCAATAATCAGTGTTTTCCTCGAGTTATATTAAAATTAGATACAACCCAGACTGAGATCTTTCCAAATGTCCCTCAAGCAGATAAGTCAGTTTCTGATTCTAACATATAGGTATTTTGTTAAAAAAAATATTACTGTTTTTTTTCCATTTTTTGTTATCATTTCAGTCTATTTTAAGACTTCCTGAACATTTAAATATATTTTCCACCATTTACCTGCACTGTAAATTAAAAAAAAACACATACCCTGAACTCTTATAAAAAAAGAACTGTCAACTCGATTTTGACCAAATGAGTAAGGTGAAAAATGTATAGAATTGTAGAATCTTACAATTTCTTTTACTCACTAGACAGTCTAGTTGAAAAACTTCAGAACTCACCAGAAGATGGCAAATGAGATTTTGCCGAAACGTTGTGAGAATAATCCTTATGGGGATAAAATACTCAGAACACGGAGCGAAATCTGCTCCATGTTCTGTGTATTAAGCATAATTCCAAGTATAAAAATGTTCTTATGACAAAATATCATTTTCGATTACTATTGGGAGAAATAAACAGAAACAAAATAAACCAATATCAATTTTATAGTCTATAAAGACAGTGATAAAATACCTACTTGATAAAATATGGATACCTACTACCTTGCCAAGCTTATTAGTCCTGATTATTAATTATGGATTACAGATGTCAAAAGTCTTTCATGTTTTTTAAACAAAGGTGCTTATGAAAAAGAATGATGACAATACAATAATTCAGTTCATCAAGAAAAATGTTGCAAGGAAAATCGTAAATCAAGAAAAGAAAGGTGGACAGTGAGATGGAATGATGGGATAGTCGTAAACATTTGTCAAATTGTTCTCACCCCCCACTACCAATTATCTTGTATACATTTCAATTATTTCCATTAACTAAATTAGCATATCTGTAATGATTTTTAGGAAACGTTCCGTATGGTGTAAAGAATAATTTTTGTGAAACGTGACTAGAAACGCCAAAATTTCATGACTATAAAACCTGAGCTCGCTCACCTCGGGAAACAATTGCCTCACAGTAAAAGTTTATTCTCCCTGTAATTTCAACATGCTTGCTGTTAAAAACGTCACCTTTATATTAAAACATATATAATAATATATACTTACCTTAGATGGCTGATACATAGGAAGGAAATAAGTATTGTAAAAAGTTGGGTTTAATTTTAGACAGGATGGGTTTAAGTGGAAATTGGAAAACATTTCTCATCTCGGGAGGACAACGTGTACTGAATGGAGATGGGTTGCTATTTGCTAACCTACTATTTAGAAACTCATTTACTTGTAGCAGTAACACTCTGGAGCTAGATCGTTGACAACTCGCTTCCAGCATATGGATGGTTCGCTTCGAAGCAAAAATACTTCTGACACTATTTTTAACTGATCGCTACGTAAAAAATTCGTAATATGACGATTTCATAGTATAGCGAATCATTTCACTATTATTGCAACGATCACAACTTAAGTACTCGTTACGTGAAATATTATATTCTGTTATGTTATCTGTATTTAAGTATCCATATGTTACTACATATACTACAGAGTTTGTATTTTTGTTTACATCATTTGCTTTGCATTGAAAATAAGTGTTCATACCTTCTAATACAAAAGTACAGCAAATTTTCAATATCAGATTCTTCAGACATTTTCAACAGTTATGTTAGATCGATGTTAAAACTAAAATTTAGCTATTGTAGATGTGCAAGCTATTTGTAGAAGTTCGGTTCTTGTGTTGTATTTTGTTTTGCCACAATGGACGAAATAATAATTCTATTTTTCATAAAAAATGTCGAAGTAGTGGAAAACCAATAAATGCATTTTAATTGAGTAATGAAAAACAGTTTAAAATTTTTCGGCTTTTCAAAAACTTGGCAATAAAACTCATTGATATTCTAGCACTGTTCATAATCGCCCCAAAAAAACAAGAGGCCAAAAGAAATTGGAAAAGTTGCAAAAATATTTAATTTGTTACTGAAAGTGTGTAATTAAAGCCGTTTCATAACTGATTGGCATTAATTTACCTTAATGCAGGTTCAAGTTGCCTGCACTTATTATGGCTTGGAAATTATCAAACAAGTGTTAGCCAAAAGGGATATCTGAATATTAGCCAGTTAATAGTCAGTAACTTAAGAAAGTAACAACCCAGGTATATACTAAACAACTGGGTATCATTCCTAAATGACACACAATTTGTTTGTTAAATTTTGAACATTGTTTTCAGATTTTATGAGTAACACCATTTTCCAAATGTGTCAGTGGCAGACACGTTGCTATTCATTCGCCCGTGATTAATATTCTGAAATCCCCGATAACTTATATGGAAGAATTATTATTAAATAAACTCCCAGTTGTTGGTATATGACTGAAATTCATACACTAAATGCCATATAATAAGTGATGGAATCGAGTATGAAAACGCTTGAGAAAACTATTGTACCTATAGCGCGAAACACGGTTGCGGTTGTTACCGAATTCGTAAACTGTCTAGTGAAAATCTCACAATAAAGTGTTATTTGAATAAATAAACCATATTTCTCAATATATAATGATAGTAAAAGATATATTTCAAAGAGTGCCAAAACAGACAACATCTTGACAGGTTTGATCCACTTGAAAAAATGTTTTTTGAGAACTGTTACCGTAAGAGAACGCCATCGGACTGCAACAAATTAGATCCATAGAATATCCCTGGTGTGATCAGTTAGCTTTCGACCTACGGTGTTCCTAATGAAGAGATCCAATAAATTTCAGCATTTCATTTACAGAGGTGCTGAGTACAACTCAAGCGGCACAGCTTGCCAATGTCAAGGCGGTAGTTAATTTCAATGTTGTTTACATTTTGGAATAAATTAATAATGGGTGAAACATTTTTGTTTACATTATGGTCCATAAATTAAAAATCTCAACAAAAATGTTGAAATTTTATCAGAATCATCAAATGCGTCGACAATACTATAATCTATAATCAATATTTTCTACTAGTTTCAACCCTAGTTTAATCACATATATAATTATATTCTTCAACAACCTTGAAAAAGGTACTGTAACGCACAGTGAAGCGTTTGATTTCAACGCGATAATTTGGCGAGGCTTCAACAGCATTTTCTGCATCTAAACAAAAATGTGCTTTCTTGGACAAATTTTCATAATGCAGTCAAGCTGCTGGAAAATAATTCCATGAAAATCAAAAAATTAATAGATAGGTAAGTACTCTTTGATCATTCCCATATTGATTTCAATTTAAGAGCCACCGGTATACAGCTGTTTCAGCCTATTGGGTATCATCAGTACCGGGCAGGCGGTCCTCGATTGAAGACAAAATGAGAAAAAACCAAGAAAGTACTTGATAAAAATAGCTGCGTAAACGCAAGCGAAACATAAGTGGAACCACCTATTGGTGTGACACCCAAGTCAACTTGCCAAGTTTTTATGTCAGTGTTGGTGGTTTGACCAATATCAACGGACAACTGCGGTAGAGTTGTCGGTTAATTGGTCAAACTGTGTCAAAAAAAAAGAAAATGGACCTCCAGGCAAAACAGCAAGTCATATTTATAATATATTACTCTGAGATATGAAGTAAACTTGAAAATAATTGTAAAGATGTTTTGGGATACTTCTTTTTATATTTCAACTAGTCGAAATATGGTATATATTGAAAAGTGAATAATTCATATTTACTCGGAAATTTACGAATAATTCGACAAATAAAGTCGGCATGAATTGTTTTCAACAAAATTTACAACTAAATGGTTCAATGCGGTTCGACTGGGCAAAAAAATGGTAACAAATGAAAGTTAACTGTTAGGATAGCTTACCTTTTTAAATGGAAGTCTGCGAATCTCTTCTATTTAATTTTCACCTAGACAAGAAGAGAGGAGAAAATGGTGATGGAAAGGAGGCAAAGAAATTGGTATAGTCACACTTCTCACGAATTAAAGAAAATTATTTGTTCTGGCGTTGAAATGATGAAGTCACATCAACTATGATTTGAAACGTATTCATGATATTATGATTGTTGTGAAACGGAATTTGACGTTACGTTACGTCAGTTGTCAGTTTCTGCTTTATTTTGATCGTTATAGTTTATAAAATGCTGAAAACTTTTTTCAAATTCTTTGTAAGGATGTACAAAATAAAACTGGGAAATTATTAGTTGCACATATCCGATTATAATTGAGGTTAGAGAAAATTTAAAAGTTTATTTTCATTATTGATTTTGACATCTGACACAAATTGAATTATTCCATTCTGGTGAAGATTAACTTCCTCACGAATCGTTTTTGAATACACGCTCGAATACAATTAAACGCCAGAAAACACCACTGGTTAAGAGATTCTTCAAAGATAACACGTGAGCATAGTTGCTACTGCCAAGAGATACTCCCAGTTACAAATATTCTTCTCAAACATATTTGGCGCCACAAAGTACTTGTAAGTTGTAAGTATGTGTTCTGTGCTGCATGCCTATTGCTTATTCTTCCATGTTCTATTGATTTTGAATACAAATTTTGTTACACCATTTATATAATTGCAGTAAAACCATAGACATTATTTTTCACGTCAATGTGTTTTAAACTAAAATGATTGCAAACTTTTTGTTAATTGTCATCATATCGTTAATAAATGAGAGCATAGAAGAAAAAGTTCATTACATATTTCCAGAATTTCCTTATAAAGAAAGCAACAAAAACGTAAGATTCTTAATGTGACATTATATAAATAAACGTATATATAGTGTGGTCATTTAAGTATGCAGCATGTTTTTTTAATTAATTGTACAACCAAAATACAGATAGTGCCGAGCGTTGGTGCATGTTCGGTTATCATTTTAGGTGTACTTTGGTTGCAAATCAAACATCATACAGGGTAGGTCAAAAAATATAAAAATTGCTCAAGAGTGAGGTACCATTATTTCAGAAACTTCAGCAAAATGTTATTGAGAAAAGTTGTTTACAGTTGAAAGATATGTCTAAATACCAAAACGTGGCCTTCTCCTCAGTTTTTCAATTTTTTTCGTTAATTTTTTTCCAGTTTGTGAATTTTTACAATCACCCTAAACACAAGTTATACATAACAAAATCGGTTGGGGATAACTTTGTTTATGCAATTCATTTGGATTTTAATTTTTTTAGGGAATCACAAACTTCATGTTTTTTGCAACGATATTTAACACAACTTTAAAATTTCGCAAACCATATTTTCAACAAGGTAAAACATTAGTAATAGTGATATACATATTCAAAAAATCTCATTTGAAGTGAACATTTAGTATTTGAAATGTTTATGAAAAAGCTAGGTATACCTACAAACTAATTGACAAACATGACGTGCTATCAAAATTATCGCGGATACCCAATAAATGAGGGTTGAAAGTAAACATTATTATTATTATTATTATCAAAAATTAAAATAATCAAAAAGGAATTATACAATGTTTTCAGTTGTATTTGAAAGCGGTGCCGACGTGTGAAGAAAGATTTATCGACGTGTCCCTGTATGTTCATTTTCTCGTTCAATGCATATAATTGTTTGATCATAAGATTCACAAAGAGTAGATCGCAACACACTTGCTGGAATATTTCTGCAATGAAATCGTATCGAATTTTCAATCTTCTCATCTTTATTTAAATGGTCGATCCTTGTAAACATTTTGCTTTCAATATCCCCATAAAAAATCTAATGGGGTGAGATCTGGCGAACGAGGAGGCCACCGTGGATTAGTATTTCGTTCTAACCATTTATCACCAAATTTCCCATTTAATCATTCTGAAACAATTATTTCAGAATGAGCAGGACATCCATCATGTACAAACCATAATTTATGTCGTTGTTGAAAGCTCATATTGTCCAAAAAATCCGTTAGTTCGTTTTCAAAAACTGTTAATAGGAACCACCAGTTAGGTTGTGGGAAAAAAAAACGGCCCTATTAATTTGTTGTTAGTGACAAAATTTGGATTTTTGTCCGACTACCACCTACAATTTTGGGAAGAGGCAACGCCATATATGTTGTGAACGTGGATTCGTCTCCAAAAAGAATGTGTTAATGGAAATCATGTTGATCTTCTATTTGTCCTTGAATCTACACGCAGAAGTCATACCGTAAGTCATACGCTAGTTCTTGAAACATGTTAAAAGACATAGGCTTATAGGCATGATTTTTTTTTCAAGAATCTTAACAGAGCTTTGTTTCATACCCGTATAACTAGAAATTTCTTGTGTGGATCTTCCAGGGTTTTCAACAACTGCCTGAAGTACTTCTAATTGATTTTCCTCAGTACATACAGTTTTGGTATGTTCATTTTTATATTTAGTCTAAACAACCAGTCTGTATGAAATTATTTAAAAGTCTGTTCACAGTGGAATAGTACACTTGTTTCTCTGGATGACGTTCATTGAATATATCTGCTGCTTCACACACTGGTGTATAGTTATCTCCACATATTAAAACTAATTCTGCCTTCTAGGCTAACGTTTACTGTCTTGGAGGAGGCATTTGAAATCAAATACTCAATAATCGAACAATAATTATTCAAGAATGAGAAGTTAATGTCACCAAACTGTCACAATGTTTTCTTTCAACCCTCATTTGTTTTGTGCTATGGATATCCACAATAGTTTTAATAAGATTTCATGTTTGTCGATTAATTTTCATTAACATTTCAAATACAAAGCGTTCACATTTAATGAAAGTGATTGAATATGCATATTATCATTAATGATGTTTTACCTTGTTAAAAATATGGTTTGCGAAATTTTAAAGTTAGGCTGAATATCGTTGCAACAAACATGAAGTTTGTGATTTCCTAAAAAATAAAAAATTCAAGTTAATTTCACAAATATTCTCGAATTTGAACAAAGTTATGCTCAACTGATTTGGTTATGATTACTTTATGTAAGTACTGAGGGTGATTACAAAAAAAACGTGTGCGTCTCGAGACGCCCGACAAAAGTGTGATAACTGAGACTAATCTAAGTTGGACTATTTAATATTGAAATTGTTTAACTTGAGAAAAGCTTAGGTTATTACTTACATTTTATGTATATAAATATGATAATGTAAAGAGAGATTATTTGTGATGTGCTGTTTGGAATCTTTGGTGTAGTAATGAATATTACTGGAGTTTTATCCCAACACCTAACCGTTATTCTAACACTTCGACACGTGTTTCGATCACCAAGTGATCATCTTCAAGAGGAAGATTTGATCTTCCTCTACTCACACAATATTTTTCTTACAAATTACCTGACAATATTAGATACAAATATTCCTGTAAAATATTTTTTCCTGAAACACTATTCAATTACCATTTAGATGCCTGATGACACCATAGAAAAATATTTTCTCTGGATTGAAAAAAAATTCTCTTTCCAGGTACTATCAGGAGCGCTATTATCTTGAAAATACTGTGTAATGAAAAAAATCATAACTCAACAAAATTATTCCAAAAATGTTTTGAAAAGTGATTATTATCACAAAGGATAGAATTCCTTTTTTAGAATTCCAAGGTATTGAAATTAAGTAGTTTCTGTAGGGCAGTTCTAAAGGTCTTTAAATTCTCTTTGGTTTTTGTAATTGATCACATGGAAGTGAAATTTAAAAAATCAATTCACCCAGGAATTGGAGTATTATGCCAGGTGTCATAGATACTCACACCTGCAAGCACTATTTTGACAGGTAAATCAGCTAGTCATTTTGTACACTGAACAGAATTATAGTATTAAAGATTTTAAAGTAGTCGAAATGTAGGACAGTCGATTAAGCTTCGATATTAACTTTAATTGCAAACAATCTGAAACTTTTGATTCACGTGCTTGTTTAGACAAAAGTGAACTATACAATATGGAACATTGTTTAAAAGCTAAATCAACTTAAATGTATAATCCTAAAATTACGAAATTTTGGTCTTTGCAACCTTTGAATTAGGTTTGCAAGTTTTCTCATTCATGGGAAGTCACTGAATTGAAATATATTGTCGAAAATCATTGTATTTTTTTGTTAAGAAGTGCTAAAAACGTAAAATAACTGATCAATTTTGCACCTTCCAACTCACAAGAAAATCAATGATTTTCAACAGATGTTCGAAATAGTAATTTGGTAATCAGACAATTTGCTAACAATACAAAAACTATGTGCAAACCTTGAGGTCATTTGACATTGTCCAATACAAGATTTGGAGGCAGAATTTTGAATGGAAACTTTTAGGCAATTGAAAATTTTGTTAACATCATGCAAATAAAAACACGTCCTATGTGCATCAAAACTAGAGCACTCATTAAATTTCTCACATACCTATTAGAAATATAACTCAATATTTCCAGTTGATTAGGAATGTGAATATTTACAGGAGGTTATGCTTCGAGAAGTAGAAGCAGCTTGTGAAAAGGGTTGTTATGGAAGAAATGGAGTATCCAAAGTCCTTTGCATTCGACAGTGTGTGTCACCTTCCTGCTACAGAGACTTATACCAAGGGGATTTAGTGAGTACCAATAAGATGGATAACTATGCAGAATCACCTTGGTTTTATACTCATATCAAAAATGATTCACGATGAACTCTGTGAAGACCTTTGTAGATATGTACAACATTTGAATGGGTCATGACATTATTTGAAAGTATTCAAAATAAGTTTTTAAGGTACTCTGTATATAAACTGCGATATCATATTGGTTTTTATATATTTTTTCCTTGAACCTAGCTTAGATTACTGTTAAATACATACGTGTGAACTTGTTAATTATCTTGAAAAAAATAGACATGCCGTAAATAAATAAATAGAAGGTGTTTAAGTTGTAAGTTGAGAAAGAACGCAGTCAATTTCAAAAACTTTTACACTAATTCACAAAATAATCAATGGTAGCATCAATTCCCCGGAACTTGTTGAACTCATAACTTCAAATGTTAATCCAAAGATAACAAGAAATACAGAAATCTTCATAGTACCCTTCCATCAGACCAACTATGGCCAGAATGAGTCTATAGGTAGGTGTGGATTTATAACTTTTCAGTCTTTCTTTGGAATCCTTAAATAAGACTGAAAAGATTGTAATGATTGGCTTTTTGCCTTTTTTATATGTTTTTCTCGCCATCCTTGGTTCAACAACAATTGCGAGCAAGCTGCCGCTTCCAAAAATCTCGCCTACCGACAATTGCGCAAAACTCCCAGTGCCGAGAACTGATCTAGGTTTGTTAATGCTGGTAACAACTGCAAGCTTAGGATAAATGAAAGCAAATTCCACCACTAACACAAGCGGATGGTTCAATTGCAACAACAGCCATAGAAAAAGCAAACCTACTAACTGAACAATTTGCGTCCCACTACAGTCAATTTTTTGGGAAAGGCACCACCCACTATTTCTACACTACAATCCACAATGCCGCAAATTACTTTTTGACAGCGTCTAGTCAGGTGAATTTTGAAACAGCTCAATATCATCGTACTTTAAAAGTGCGCAAATGAACTTGCACCAGTATTTTTCAACCTGTCTTACAAGAAAGGGGTTTTTCCTTCTCGTTGCCCAAAAAGGGCAAGAAAACTCTTCCAAAAAACTATATACCAGTCACTTTGTTATCAGTGATATCAAAAATCATGGAGAAAGCCTTAAACCACCATATCCTTAAATATTTGGAAGGCTTTAACATATTGAGCGATCATCTGTATGGCTTTCGGAAACAAAGATCAACAGGGGACCTTCTATCACCTATCTAAGAAATATCAAGCGCTGTTGCGCTTGATATTTCTTAGGCCTTTTACCGTCTGTGGCATGAGGGTTTGCTAGTCAAACTTCGAAGGTATGGCTTGTCTGATCAATTTTGTGTATGGCTCTTCAGCTTCCTGAAAGAGCATTTCCTGCAAGTGAACGTCGATGGATATCTCTCGAATACTTTTACCATCAACGCTGGTGTTCCCCAGGGATCCATATTGTCTCCAGCCCTCTTTGTATTCTATATCAACGACTTATTGGAAAAAACCAAGAATCCAATATGTTGCTTTGCTGATGAAGCACACTTGTCTCGTCATCACATTTGGATACCAGGAATTGGAGTGAAAGTAACCAGGCTCAATTCAATGCCACAAAAACCAAGACATCGGTTTTTTCCAAAAAGATAAATGTCTCCGAACCGGATATAATAATGTCAATTCAAGACAGTTTTGATAAGTTTGTTGGGGGTTAAAATGGACACCAATATGTTTTGGCACAATTATGTCACTGGAATTGCAAAGGTGCTTCTCAAAAGCTTGGAACCCTGTTCCGAACCAGAAAACTGTACACACCTCAGCATCTGTTGATGCTTTATAAAGCCCAGATCAGACCTTCTTTGGAGTATTGTTCTCGTGTATGGAGCTCCGCCTCCAAACATACCCTAAAGCTGCTGGATTCCATTCAAAAAAGATCCATCCGCCTGACGCAAACATCACTTGCAACCTTGATAGTCTGGAACATCGAAGAAAGGTTGGAGATTTTTCTCTCTTCTATATATACTTTCACGGGAAGTATTCAAGTGACTTGGCATATTTGATTCCAGCAAGAGCTCATTGTTTTGAGTGTCAATTCGAACTTCACTGTTTAAGAAATCTCTCATTTGGAAAACGGTGTTTATGTGGAATATACTTCCTGAAAACGTTTTTCCAAATCAATTTAATCTCCAGCGATTCACATCCAATGTGATTCACTACTTTCGCACAGCCTTGAGGATTTTCCTGTAGTGCTTGTGTTTTGTCTTTATAAAAAAAGAAAATCTAGCTGATATTTATAGTACATATGTGTGAATTTGTTGATTATTTTGTAAAAATAGGTAATAGCATAAATAAATAAATAATTTTTCTTATAAACCATATTTCCTATGTTATAAAATTTCTTGTTTATCACTAGAAAATGTTTCGTATGGGGAAGGCCTGAAAAGATCATATCAAGTACATGGCCCAAGTACAAAATGAGCACTGCTCTTTCACATATTCCATTATACTGGGGTGGTACGGGAAAGATTTAACGGGTCATATTCAATTGCTTTGACAGAATGCATTGAAATCTTATGAATTGAAGAGAGGGTCATTATCAGAGACTAATTCAACTGAATACAGAAAAAATGTTTGAGCTTCATTCATAACCTTATGTATCAATTTAACCTTTAACCAGTTAGACTTACTATCAACTAGTAATGAAAATGTGAAATAATTTTTTTGGGAGAAGTCAATATTGACTCTATATAAATTGATTGGTGCTGAGGGCCAGAATGACAAATTACTACTTTTATTGAAATTTTGTGTATGTTGATGAACTTTATATATACATACATATATGACAGTAGTTTTTACTGTTATTAACTGAAATGAAAAAATATAAACATTGGTTTTATATATCAAAAATGAGCACTTTTCCCAATCAACAAGAATGCAATAACCTTCACAAATCACTTTTCACCAACTTGGTTGGTGAAACACATGTCAAGTAGAGTTTTGTACTTTTGGTGATTGGAGAAAATGCTAGTTTTGTATTCATTCTATGCCATAAGTTTCAGTTTTACCTATTATTTAATATTATTTGTTATTTTACAGCTCGAGGAAGGAGAAGTGGATGTAAGACTCAATTCATTCAAGGGATGTTTTATTCAACGATACAACAGATCTCGTCCATAACCAGGCTAAACACCAAATATGATTAATAATTTATAATAGTAACAAACACCTAGAAATAATTCAGTTCACAATATTACTGTTATATATTATTTGTTAATGTATTAGTTTCAGAAAATTCACTTTGAGAAAAATTTAGTACTTTTAATCTGAGGTAAATGGGCTAGATTTGAATACCTTGAAAAATGTCACTATTATATTCATTTTCAAGTTGCCCATATATGATAATCATGAAGCTGTTCACTTTTAAACACTGTGTATGAAGGATTACCCATGAGCAAAAATATTAAAACTTTCTCTGAAAGACTATAAATGTGATATTCGTTTCAGTTGGATGTATGCCTATTCTCAATTTTTAATACTTATGGTTTTATTTTTCACATAATAAAAGAAAATTATTTGAATGTACAAATTTTCTTTTTTACTATAATTATAAGAACACAGGTTTTTACGGTCAGTTTTCATGAATAATGAGAACAAAATCCGCGCTGGTTCTCCTAAGACTTTGATAAATAATTTTCATCCTTGCAGTCAATGCACATACCACTAATGATGTTTGCCATAGTAGCAGACGAAACTTTTGATACTTATTCAACTATGTATTTTGTTCTCATTAATTTACTATAATTCTTTTGTAATGTTTTAATATTTGCATATTAAACATATATGCAAATCAATTTTTTCCTTTTTTTTCTACTATATTTAACTATACAGGTTTCACTTTTGAATAGTTTATATTGATAACATGACATAGGTAAATATTCACTATATATTCAGCGAGCATGGGCACTTTTTATTATTAAATATAATTTAATAATGCTACAATATCATCCAATGAGAAGAAAGTAACGGTTTATATAACATGAAACACATGTGACATGAAAGTATTATTTTGTAATTGAAGGTTTATTTTCGTTCAGTTCTTTGATACTTTGAAATTTTTTGAAAACACAAATTGGTAAATATTGACTTCATAAGAAATAAGCTCTGGTTAATATCTACAATGGATACAATAAAAAATTACTGACATAAAATTATTTCTGAAAGCCTTGTTCCATTCTATTGTTTTCAAAAAAATAGTCCAAGACAGGGTCAGACCAAACTTAATTTCAAGAGGGAAAGCTTTTTTTAAAATTGAGCTTTAAAAATGCTTTTCAGGAAACAAGTTACACTGTACATACAGTTTTTTCTGGATTGAATTTTATTCATAAATGCAATTGAAAATAAGTGGTTTTAAGAATTTCTTGAATAGTTCTCTTATTCGAATAAATGTTTTATTCTTAGATTTGTAAAATACTAGCTGTTAACTCCTTATATATAATTTTTCTAGGTTCAAATGAAACTGATAGTTGCAAAAAATATTGATTATTGAAAATATTCTTTAAAATTGCGAAATAATAGCTTTAACTCCGCTTTGAACTTAAATAACAACAAAAAATCAATACATGGTAACAGTTTATACCGGTCTATTTACAAATTTGTTGTTTTTCCAGTTAATGAAGGTATTACTTCCGATGAAAGTTGTATTGGTTTAATAAAAACTTCAGACTGAACTATCTTTAGTCTTTGACTCTGTTGAAGGTGTGAAAATCAAAATCAATACTCATTGTTACTAAGTTCATGAAAAACAACTTTTGAATTTTTTTTATTAATTTCATAAAACACTCAGAGGCGACTTTAGCCCGTGTAGCGCCCGTGTACAATCAATACAATGGCTCCCTCTTGTATCAAAACAAGCAGTCAAAATGGAATAGGTACATACATTACGATCGACTAAACTCCGAACCTAGCTGGAATACGTTGCCGTTAGCTGAATATCGTTGTTTTGTCACGAAACCAAGTTCAGACTGACCTCGATCGCGTTGTGAAATTACAGTGGACATGGCTACAGGGTAACCTACCCAAACCTGTCAAAAACTTTTCATTTGAAATGAGAATATTTTTCTTGCTGGCCCATCACCATCTGTAAATGAGTAAAAAGTATTTTTAGGAAAGAAGGCGCTACAAGAATCAAAAAGACAAATTTTTATTTTCAAACGAATCAAAACAGGTACCGGCTGGGCCTTTAGGAGCAGAGCGACACTACGCCAATGTAAACTTAAGTTAACAGTTTTTATAAGGGGTTTTCGTGTTGAAACAGAAGTATCGTGTAGGAACCAATAGTAAAAAAGTCACTAGTGTAGCGGATTGCTTTGCTACCGCGTTCAGTATCAACCCTAACACGCCGGGCGCCGCAAGCGGCACAGTACATGCTTTCAGCTATACACTGTAAACAAGCGGCTGTTCATGATAAGCGCCTGCGCACGTAGATGTTTTGCTATTCCCTCTGAACCCCGCTACACACCTACTCCGTTTGTATATGAGCAGAAGCCTTCGGCGCCCCTTAACTCCCGGTGCCCGGATGCACTGCACCCCCAGCACTATAAGTAAAGCCGCCCCCTAAAATACTAGCAAGTACATCGAATCCGTTCTTTTAAATAATACTACAAAGTTGTACTGTCAAGTCAATTTTTCAAGAAATATGAAAGGTCAACTTTGTTTAGTTAATAATATGCAACCCACTTTTTCTCAGTACAGTATTTAAAAACAATATTATAAAATGGTTTCATTTCCATGAACAATATTTCTAATAAGGAACAATATAGACTGGAAATAATTCTTCTTGAAGTTAAAAAATAAATGCATTAAATGAATTGGGAAAATACTGAATTGCATTACACCGGAATATAATTTTTTTTCTGAGTCTAAAAAGAAATATATACCCCAAATATTATTATGTCAGACAACACCGGATATGCTATGATTATACAATTATTTTCAATTCACCATTTCTGGACGCGAAATGAATGTACATAATACATCCATCCCTCAGTGGACTTGGAAATGACATCCTTTCATTTGAATTAGATACTCAAAGAAAACTTGAACAACATTAATGCATTATCGACGATAAGGCTCATAGTTATTTTATTGATAGTTGGCTAACTATTTTCAATATAGGTGAACCTTTATATTCTGTCAATTGTTAGTTTTTGATCTTCACTTTTTTTGTGAATAGTATGTGTTTTGTTAATTTTCACTTTACAGTGTGTTATTTGTTTGGTTTTCCTTTTTATGAATAGATATATTATGTAAAGATATTTCAGTCACTTCTTCAATATCCCCTTTTTCTTTTACCAACAAAAATTTTCAATTATTTCCACAATCGTCTTCTAGAAAGAACTTCAATATGATTGTGGATACAATCGATACTTGATGTTAGGTATAAATAAAAAGGCAATTGCACTTCAAATCCCCTTCTACTTTCATGAGGTATATTTCAAGGATATCTGAATATCTTTTTGAGAATTGTTATTAAGAACTTTATGTAGGTGTGAAAAGAGCAAACTTTTTAATTAACTCCGATAATTTTTCGTATTTGAAAATTTTGCCTATCAAAAAAATAGACAAGAAATTGTAGATACTTATCTTAATGTTGAAGCTAAAATCTGCCTGTCTTCAGAACTGAAAAATATATAATGTAAATTGAAGTTTTTTTTTCGATTAGCTTTTTTATTTTTAAAGTTCTTCGCTAGATTTCAAAGGATATCAGATTTCAAAAAGTCCTTTTGACATAATTCAGAGAAGTTTAAAATTCTAAAGACAGAGGTTGATTTCAGCCTATGAAGTATTAAGATAAGTATTTGTATAATTTTCAAAGGATATCAGATTTCAAAAAGTCCTTTTGACATAATTCAGAGATAAAATTCTAAAGACAGAGGTTGATTTCAGCCTATGAAGTATTAAGATAAGTATTTGTATAATTTCGTGGCTCTTTTTTTGATTGGCAGAATTATCAAATACAAATTACTGAGAGTTAATCTTTTTTTTAATACTCTGAATTTATACAATAACTTATCGGGGTGAACTGTATGAAAGTTCTATTGCAATTTTTATTTATTTCAGATTGTGTAAGATGAAAATTCTCAAAACTATCAACAAAAAACTCGGATTTCTTCCATGAAAATTACTTTGGTTCAATATTTCTGCAAAATATTCTCCAAGGATGGCTTACAGATTTTCGCTTAGTTTAATAGTTCTAACGATTTCTTATGGTATATTCAATGGATATTTTATAGACGTACCCATCAAGTGTTCATCTGTTGACTGGGTTACTGCCAGGGTCAAGAATTGAATATTACGTGTCATTACAGACCACTGTTAACTGAAAAATCAATAAATACCACTAGCCTAGAGTCTTAAAAACATAACGAAAATGTATAAAAAACATTAATTCAATATTACAATTGAGAATTGATAGTTTATCTACAACACAATGTATTGCTTATTATTTTCATTTTATCATAACTAGTGCCTTGTCAACAAATTCACCTAACATATATAAACAATAACCTAATTTACAAAAATGATTACTTGTTTTATACATAAATAACGTTTTATCCAGTATTCATTGACAAGTCAAAGTTGGGCATTGTTTAGGATTTAATATTTTTCAAAAAAGTACAAGTTTGAGTACTACTACATTCAAAATCTGAAATGATTATATTGTATACTTTTATAGAAAAAATAAGTTATATTTTCAAGTATCCTAAAAGCGATACCTCCAGGTTAGTATTTGGAAATTAGAGGAACATATGTTCACTGTTTTCAAATAGAATATGATCATTTTTTTGTGGAGTGATGAATGCCAAATCAAATTTTACATGAAAATCGTTCATTGATACAATTGTAGTCACATAACTTGTAAATGACGGAACAGAGTACCAGGTGCAGATGGTGAATTAATCATCAACAATTCACCATAATAAAATAGTTTTTGAAAGAGAATCAGACATCTTTGAAAACATATATGCAATTCAATAATCAATAAAGAAAACTACTTTTGATAGTCTAGATCATTGCTGTTTGTACAGAATTTTGAAAATTCTGTAAAATCCATCATTAAAAACTTCAAAAGGCTAACGGATATATCTTCTTCTAAAGTAAACATGATACATGGTATATTTGATTTTCTTACTAACCTAAAAGTATCGTCTGCTAATTTAACTCTCGTTTTAATCTTACACCGCGCTTACATGTACAGAATGATTCACATCGTTGACAAGAGATTCATTCAGTGTATCGCCACTCCCCGTTAGTTCAATCTGCTGTGATTCTCCTAGTTGAGAACTGTTTTTTACCTTGTGTTTTTTGCCTATCCCGGGAATTTTTGGCAAGTGTTTTAGAGCACCCGAGGAACCTTTAGTTTTGGCTTTTTCAACATCTTCTTGCTCTTCAGTAATCGAGTCTAAAGTAGCTTCAGACTGGAGGGGCTGATTCAAATCTTGGATGGGTATGTCATCTGCAGAATTTAAAAATTCACTTCTGAATTAATGTAAAGAAATGTCTGACATTTGAGATGAACCAAAATGCTCGTGTCAGATATCAATATCTATTTGTGTTATTTACATCAAAGATTACTATAACTCTAGTAATCTCTATAACTATAGTAATCTGTGATTCACATGAACAGAAAACGTTATGAAAGTAAAAAAATGGCGCCACCAAAATTTGCTACTGTTTAAAGCTTTTAAAGTTTGATCGCAATTTTTTGTTATTTTACAGAATAATTCATTGGTATATTGGGACATAACTTGTTAACTCATTATGTCAGTGGTGTTCTCTATTTTTCTTGAATAACAGGTAGATGATTTTATGGTATTTTCAAAACGACCTGTAGATTTTAACAGCAGTTGAGTTGTTCAATTTTTGATTAACCTATTGAATTGATAACAATAAGTTGTTTGAATTCAAACATTAAGTATAAAAATTTAAAAAATCAAGTTGATTACATGCAAACAAGCTAACATTGTGAATTACTAACAACTTTATATTCGTTTTCAATTTAGAATCCAGTCTTACTTTGAGAACGAGTAAATTTTGGTCCATCCTAGTCATTAAAAAAAAAAGTCACAAAAAGCGTTATCAACACCACAATCAATAACCCTACCTTCCAATTCGAAATGTACTCTGTTCTAGTTCAAGCTCAAACTCAAATTTTCTTGTCTTCCTTTGGCAATAACTTACCAGGCAGCTTTTTCGTTCTGAAGGAGGCATTAGTTATCATCGATTTGGATATGCTGTGGCTGTGAGAAGGTCTTGGAGCCGCTGATACAGTTGGAGAGTTCTGAAGGAGATTTTTAACAGAGTTGGCAGCTAGCAAAACTTCTATAAAACAACAAAAAAGTACTTTTGTAAAGTTAGTATTACTTGTAAATATGATGTTCATGTGCTAACCCAATTCATCTGTATTGAAACAACACATCTGTATTGAAACAACACATTTTTGTTTCAAGTGACAAACATAAAAAATCAAGGATAGAATAAATTGGTTATCTTTTGTTACAAAGGTAATTGCTGAAACATCAATTTTTAGATCAATTTCGTTATTACCAACTTGAAATGAAATATTTCTAAAAAATTTAGATAGGCGTTTTTTGTCTGATAATATTCTTGGCTTTCACGATAAAATATGTATGAAATATTACATCTACAGTATGCAGACGTAAATTAAAGGAAACCTAAACATTATTGCATAAAATAAACCAAACAAGGAGAAACTTTCACCATCTGTAATATAAATTCAAAATAGCCACATTTTTCACTCGTATTTCTTCATTCATGTCTGCATATCGTGAATTCAATCTTTCATATTTATATTACAGACGATAAAACTTTTCTATTATACATATATGTTCAGTTTATTTCATGCTGTGAGATTCATGTTATAAAAGCCTGATGATGCCCCTATATGTGAGCGATTCTAGAATGAAATAACAATTTAATCTTTTCAAGTATCACAAGTAACAAATGTCATCCTTTTCATACGAACACTTTGAAGAACTGAATTGGAGATGTGATTCAGCTGTGAGTCTGCTTGGTGACTCCGACAGCCTGCTCGGTGATAATTCAGTTTTCTTTTCATCTATGTCTGCATGCCGTAAATCCACTTTTTCATATTTATAATCCATTTGATTAAAATGTGTATGTGTGATGCATTTTTTTCTGGAGAGGGTTTATGAAAAACAGTAAAGGTGACGCCTATGTAGCAGTAAACAATTTAAAACCACAGTACACTGCTCACCTTTAGGAAGGATCAGATCATATCTAGTATTGTAAACATTTTGTGAGAACCACACCAACCACATCTAAAAGATATTATATGTTTCCAAGTGTTCCCGAAAGATACCGTTTTGAGCGCCCTCCTTTATTTATTTGCTGAAAGTCTTCAATGAAATTATTAACAACAACTTAAAACTATGCATCATTGACCCTATTCTCATTTGTTTTCCCGTGTCAACAAAAAAGTGTGGATAATGATTTGCATCATTTGTTGCTGAAGCTGTTGAAACCTTTCGATACCACGTTTTGATATTTTAATTTCGTAGTGGAAAAACTGATTCAAGAATTGGTTAAACACATGGAAAAATATATTGGTTTTTCATGGGTAAGTATTTTGAAATCTCAAATTCACTTATTCAAAAACACATTTTTCAATGAAAAAATACTGCATTACCTGCAAATGTTTCATAACGAGCTCTGTACATAATATCATGGAGTGCTTGTACTGCAACACCACCACACCGTACTGCAGCATGATATATAATGTGAAGGAGCTCTATCAATAGAGGACTAGAAACAGGAACTCTTGGCCGAACAGTCTGTTGAATACTGGAATCACTTGCAACTGAACTTCTGTTGCTTCCTAAGGTGCTATTGAATCCTTGCATCACTAACCTGAAAATTAACATAAAAATTACATATATTAATTCGAATTTCATTAAGTTTCGAAAACCAGTACCACAATACTGAAGTTTCAATTATATCAATTGATAGTGGCCATATAGAAATTGGTTAGCAAATATGAACCGAATTTTGTTTATTTCAATTTAGTTCTAAGTTTCTTAGTTTTAAACAGAAGAAAATTAATTAATAATTGATTAATTACGGTAAAAAATTCGAGAAACATAACCGCTGAAGAGTTTTTAATGTTCGCAAATATATCAATGAGCAGTAATGAATATTATCAAAGCGATTGTGACTGATATAATGGCCCAAGATAGTTACACTCTGCATGGAACGAAGGTAAGTCTTTTTTTATGCATTTTTAAAAAATTACTTTTTTATTTCACCATCAACAAATAATGATCCAAAATCAACTGAGGAACCTGTTGGAATGAGAGAATTTGCTTTCACTGAAGTAAATGGTTTGTCTCATATACCACACTCCAATGAATATTTTTAATATTTCAAACTAATTATGAACGATGACTTTATTGGCATATTAGCAGATAAGACAAATCAATATGCTTTCAAAGTTTCTTGTCACAAAGGAGGTTTTGTCTAATGAAGTAGATGGAAATCTAGTTTTTTCAGAAGAAATGCTAAACATTCACAGGTCTAGTTATACCTACTGAAACAATAAAACTGGATAGGTTCCAAAATTATTGGAAAACTGATCCACTGTTTTACGTCAGTCAAAACAGATTTTTACAAATAATACAATGTTTGCATTTTATTGATGATTCTGATAATGTTGGATACCGTTTGTTCAAGATAAAACCAATTATATATTTTTTCAACATTAAAATGTCGCTTGATGAATCTATGGTGTTTTAAAGGATACAACAGGTTTTTAGATACTCCCAGTTTTTCTGTTTCATTATTATTTGTTATAACTATGAAAATTGTAAATCGAGTATAATAAATAGACTAGACAATAAAATCCCCATAATGAGAAAATAGGTGTACAACAATAAGTTAAACAATTATCTCTTGATTTTCAGCTATAATATCCCAAGGACATTGATAACTAACGAAATAATTTTATCACAGTTTTCGAAAGCACGTTATTTGGTAACATCCCGACGCCGTTACCTAAAATAACGTGCTTGAGGAAGTTGTGATAAAATTATGAGTTATTTATCAATGTTCGAGGGATATTCGGTGAGAAAATTTTTTGCAATTCGAACAAAATTATTTTTTGAACACAGTTCTTAAAAGAACAATTCGTATAATGATATTCCGTTGATCTTGCTGTATTTGCCTCGGTTACTGCATAGGTGTTTCCACGCATACTATTGATTATTTGGTTATGATGTTCCTGATCAATATTCAAATAAGGTTTTATGGAATTTCCATTATTGTGCCCAGTAATTTTCAACAATTGCTGTTCTTGAACTCCACTCTTAGCTAGTTGACTGACTGCAGTTGATCTATTAGAGTGATTGGTTATTTTCCTCTGTTTCGTATCCAAGCCAATTGCTTCAGCAGAAGATTTCGTCCATCCGTTGATTATATTTCTACACAGAGGCATATTGTCATACCAGTTATCGCTTCCTGTCTTCCAGTGATGATTTGGCCTTAAAAATAGTCTATTTGTCTTGATATTTGTGCCTCGTTTTGATAATAATTTAATGAATAATCTGACAGGACAAGCATTGTTATCACTATTTTGAACTAACCATTTGCTAGAGGCGCAGTTCTTTGAACCCCCTTGGCAGGTTTTACTGAAAATTGGATTATATTCTATCCTATTAGTTGGAGATCCATTGTTGTCCTTTTCGATATGAAAATAATCAACTAAGCAAGCAGCACCTTCACCACCTCTCCAAGCCAATTCCACCGCTGCTATGTGATAAAATTTGCGTAGGAGTCCTATAGGGGTATTTTCATCCCAAAAGTTTATAATTTTACTCATTTCATTTGAAGTTAATGGTACTGAGCTTGTTTTGCGTTTAGTGGGATCTGTTTGTAAATTTCTTCGTGCTGCGTCGCGTGCATTCCGCGCTTGTTTGAATGCAACACTTTTAAAGGGGTCTAGCATGATATTATACTCCTTGTAATACTTTTCTTGTAATAATTTGCTTGTTATATTCCATACGGTTTTAACAGTAGCCTCCTTAAACTCTGTGCTATCCTTTTTTCTCATATTAATCGCCCAATCCTTGAGTATTAATGCAAGCTCTTCGAGAGTACGATTTCCATCCAATTCATATTTTCTGGCGTCACAAAACTCCATAAATATTTTCCAAGTGTATTTTTTACTATTGACAGTATTTTTTGGTGTATTTTCTTCAATGATTTTGTCAATTGCCGCATCATTTTGAACACCAAAGTGAGGAAGTGACATTTTCGAAATAAATTGAATTACTGAAATGTCAAACAACTTTATTGTGTTGGTTGCTTAGCAATGTCATGACATAAGTGATAACTACCCGTGAAAACTATCCATGGGTAGTTATCAGTGTAATGATGGTTTCATTGGTTATTTCGACACACATGACTAGAAATAGACAAATTTGATAGGATAATTTTTTTGTCAAAAAATTTTCGGCAGAACAACTTGACAAAATAAGTGGTTAAACCGGAACCTGTGGTGGCGTAAAAAAAATCTAAAACAAGCACTTTTTTCCAATCACTAGAAATGAAATACTCTTCTCGACGTGTCTTCTTCATCAAGAAAACTATCTTTTCCATCAAGAAAACAGTTTTCTTCATCTCCTGAAGACGCCAACTTAGTTTGCTGAAACGCACGTCAAGAAGAGTATTGCATTTCTGATAATTTGGGAAAAGGGCTTGTTTTAAACATTTGAAAAGGCAATAAATACAGACTCGTTCGAGTGGTTGTTATTGAGTAACTTTGAAGGAAGTCTCTTAAGGTGAAAAAAAAAACTTTTTTAATAAAAAATGCAATGGATCGTTTGACATATATGATTTTGTCTATAAAGTGACAATAATTACCACATTGCTTTGAAAACTAGAAATCATAAATGATTTAAGACTTTTGAAGAATTCACTGAGAAACACATTTATATTATGAAACTTTTAGCTGTCCAAAAAGATGAAGATAAAGAAAATTAATGTTCGATTGCTGCGGAGTTATATAAAAGATATTACTCAATCAAAACTATATATTATGATTGTTTTAAAAGAAACCCGCTAGTTCTCATTCAGGCTTCAGCAGTTCCGACTATTATTGTTAGATTACTTGAATGTTCCAACATTCTATGGAAATATTAAATTATTACCAACAATTTTTGATTTGCTTAATTCACTCATTTGTACAAGCCTATGTTGAAGATTCTCAATTACTATTTTGGTAACATTTTTATTACTTGCTCTTTCACTGTTCTATTCCTTAGAAAAATTTTTACTCGCTTATTCCTTGAAAACTATTTCATGAATTATGGCAGGCCGGAAGTACTACTTTTTGTTTGATAATACTTTTTACTTTCCTCATCATTGTGTTATGAAGTTCTAAAATAGAAAAAACAACAAATGTAAAAGTCGTATTCGATGCATTCAGTAAATCGCCTCTAGGTGCATCACAATAGTCTTTTAATTTGAAACAAACTTCATCAAGACCTAGTAAATGAGCGTCCCCAAGCTTACCAAAAAATTTTTTATCGATTCTCCCCTGAAGATCCAATCCAGGATTATAAGTCACAAGTTATTTCCTTTGGTCTATCATTTATTGCTCTCAGAGTGATTTCATAGTTGGTTGCAGACGAGAAAATAAATTTCCCTGAAGCTGAAGTGGTGCTCATTTGTGTGGATGATCGGTTGCAAGACAATACAAGAAGGCTGAACTATTCGCTTCATTATTCAGGTTCATCTATCCAGAAGTTAAATCCCTTTGTTGGAGACGATGATATTCTCCGGTTGGGGACGCTTGCATTATTCAGGTTCATCCATCCAGCCATCTTGTCTCTCACCACAAAATTTTTCTTTTCTGCTCGACGGGCTATTCATCATGTATTGTCCAAATGTATGTGACCTTTCAGTCAAGCCAGCTACTATGGAACTATACATGAGAAATCTTTGGTCACCCCGAGTTCCTTTCTTCAAAGATGGAGTGGATTATGGGGGTCCCTTTTATGTGACTACATCAAAACGACGATGAGTTGAATACCCAAAGGTTTATTTATGTTTTGCTACCAAAGTCATACATTTGGAATTTGTGTGTATAAATTTGAATACAATAAAATGATCAAGATACAAAATGAAAACGACTACAGAGTAAAAAGAGAAAGGAAGAAAATGAAAATAAGCAAAAACATTAAAAATGAATAAAAACAAAATGTCTTCTTACACGAATTCACTTGATCTGTGCAGTTAGTTACTGAACCTTCATTTATGTATTTTTCTTTTATTATCATGGATTATTTTTATCTACTGGTTAGAGTGAAATAAACTTTCACACTTAACCAAATAAACCCAGCTTCTTAACGAAGCCGTTTAGTTTGTATGGTGAGTGGTCTTTCAGGTCATATATTAAGAGTACGGCTCTGCCGAACTCTAAAACCTGATTCAACCCCGAGTGGGGCAGACACAAAGAAGGTGCTCTGCTACTTCATCATTTTCCAAACAGAGGCGACATACACTGTCTTCAGACAGTTTTAGTATCTGCATATGATGATTCAAATGACAGTGACCTATGGAAAGGCCTGTTAGGTGAATAAACGCCTTAAAGTTAGCCAATCCTGGAAGATTCTGCCAGAAGTCCATAAATCTTCTTGCCATCCAGGTGTTCAATCTTTATTTGGCAAAGCCTAAAGCGATGCCAATGACAAGTTCTGGTCTGATGAAGCTGCTTGCAGCACCCTCCTTTATAAGGGAGTCAGCAGCCCCATTGCCTTCCAGGTCAGTATGGCCAGGAATCCAGACCAGAGACTGTTAAGTCTTTCTATCGAGGAGAGTGGTTTTTGGCAATTTGCCACCAATTTAGACGTTGCTCGGTAGGAGCCAAGAGCTTCTAACGACGCTTGATTGTCCGAGAATATTTTTATTGACTTGTGTATGAGGTTGGATTCTTCCAATGTCTCCGCACACAATTCAATACCGTAAATTTCCGCTGAAATACAGTCGCATAAGTTCCTAGGCAGGTTGATATCTTTGTCCCGGGTCTGCGACTGAAAATACCCGCACCGGAAGGTGTTTTTGATCCATCTGTGCACCAACAAGTATCTGCTCTTAATATTTCCTTCTCTCGGAGGATCCAATCCTCTCTACTCGGGAATTTCGTAGTTGACAGTTGGAGGCATAAAGTCAGAGGTCATTTCCATAATGCTGTGACTTCCAGTGTCAACCAACAGTCTGTGGAGGTATGTTTATGAAAATTCATTGTTACAGAGCCCTGAAGAAGAATTGAATTGAATTCGAAACGTTGGCAAGAAAACAATTGTTTTTTTTTAAGAAAAAATTGATCCTGTTACCCAACCAACCTTTCTTCAGGAAAATTATTTTGGACATCAGAAATTTACATCCAAACGTTTTCAGAGATTGCGCTTATTGTGGAATGTGCGGCAAGCAGCTTCATCGGACCAGAACCTGTCATTGACATCGCTTTAGGCTTTGCCAAACAAAGATTGAACACCTGGAGGGCAAGAAGATTTATGGACTTCTGGCAGAGTCTTCCAGGATTGGTTCACTCTAAGGCGTCACAGTAGGGATAAACTACGATGTCTTAAACCTTAACATTTATTATCATGTATCAGTATGTTTTAAATTGTTAGTATAGTCTTATCTAAGTTAGTTAACTTTGAATTTTTTTTCCTTTTCTATTTTATTTCTCAACATTGTTAGGTTACAGTCATATATACGACTCTAGTTATTAGTTATTATTATTGTTGTTTAAGGACATATTATTATTGTTTACTGATTTATTATTATTATTGTATGTATATTAGGATTTCCTAAATAAACGAATTCATTCATTCATTCATTCTTACAGGTCACTGTCATTTGATTCATCATATGCAGAGACTCGGACTGTCGGAAGACAGTGTGTGTCGCCTCTGTTTGGAAAATGATGAAATAACAGAGCATATACTTTGTGCCTGCCCCGCTGGGGACCGAATCGGGTTTTTAGAATTCGGCAGAGCCGTACTCTTACCATGTGACCTGAAAGACCTCTCACCATATAAACCAATCAGTTTCGTTAAGAAACTGAGTTTATTTAGTCGAGTGTGAATAGGTGTGAGCCACAATAAACCATTGCGGGTTACGGTGGAGGTTCGAATAGACCCACTCACTTTGGACCTAACCTAACCAAACCTATTGTGGTCCGCTGTCTATCATAACGAGGTATTTGTAACCATATAAAAGAATACAAATAACGGGTGAGCGAATCTCCATCAGTTTCTGAATAAATTCACAATCTTTCATCAACTCGACCATGCGGTGATAACTGATTTTAGGTGTGACCCTCGACAAGCCAGCTTCCACACATGGACCTAAGCAATGAGACTGTTCTCGTTTCCCGGACTACCATACTGTTCTTCACGCAACATAGAAATATTTTAATTTTCATGACTTCTTCTAACATGTTCGTTTCTACGCGAAAAGTTTTTTTGTGGCTGCCATATGCAGCCACAAATGTCAATCGAAAATGATGACATTTCGCATGCCCCCTATATAGTTGTCCTGACCCCATCTACCACGCTGTCAAAGTCACTCTTCTGTAATCTGGGTATTGAAGAATATACTTTGCCAATCAAAGATCAATTTTGCCCACCCAAAATTTACCGCACTATAGAACACAAAACCAGACCTCTGAATTACGGAACCCCCTCTCCACTGAGCAAGGGTGTTTATTCATCCAACCTCGTAATGTTTGATTTTCTTTAATATATATTAGAGAGTTAAACATTACATTCTTGCAAATTTTGTCAAACATTGATATCTTGCTTCGTTAAAAAGTTAAGATGGGCGAGTTATTTACGTCTGCATTGTATTTATTTTCATCAATATATTTGTATCTACTATGGCAACTTACAAACATCAGATGTCAAGTATATTTCTGTATATTAAACGACTAGGGTTTCAACCTAAGGTTTCAGTATTCTCATCAATGATCATTATGTAGTTTAATAATCAACATATTATTATTTAGTTAAACTAGGCTTTATAAATGAACACCACACCAAATATTTGCACAGGGATATATAAATAATCATTGTGAAAAACATAGGAATAGGAGACTCCTGTTTGATAAAGATTCTCGTCTCAACTGATAGGTTGGTCATTTTTATTTTGCATTTACTTTTATTTTTTCGTTTTTTATTCAATATGTCTTCGTAGCATATGATTAGTAACTGATGTTTGTTGGTATGTTACATTATATTTATATCAAGATGTATGATTTCAAATGATTTCCTTTCTAGTTACATAACCTTAAAGTTTTCATGTTACATACACAATAAATATCTTGATTTACTTTTAATTAGATTCAAAATATTCTCACCTAGATATTCCTCTACAAGTCTGTTCAACACCTTGCTCCATCACATTAGCTAATTGTTGGTTGTATAGAAATATTAGGGCAGTTGCCACTCTCTGTCTATTCTGGGCATTTAGACACTCAACCTGAGGCAGTGGCCCCCAACTCACTAGTTTGGTGTTGCACTCCTCCCATCTAGATGGTTGAAAATAGTTAACTTGAATCAATTATAAGATATATTCCTTTTGCATTGTCAAATTTCAACTCAACATTATCTACATTACTGAATATACGATTCATTTATAACGGCACTCATTAAGTTATATTGTGATGCTTGCCTTGTCTAATGGGTATTATGAATAAGTTATAATAATGAATATGAAAAAAACATTTCCAACTCATCTGAACATAACAGGTAGTCCCATATTGTATCCAGTGTAGCAATATCAATTATATCTCTTCATTACCAAATGAAGGTTTATATAGAACTATATCTGGTACATCATGGTTATTAAGGATATAAAAAAAAAATTGTGTCAAATATTCGCCAATGATTCTACTTATTTTTCTCCTCCATGCAGAATAATTCAATGGAATGTGCCGCAATGATACTCACGAGGTCTGTTGAAAAAAAATAAGGTGAATGTTCAAATTTCGCGGGCTAGATGCGACTTTTTCCTGTTACCAAGATTGAAGAGACCAATAAAACGAAAGTGTTTTGCGACAAGTGAGGAGATAGAAACCGGATAGCTGAGAGAGCTCAAGATCATACCAAAAGTTGCATTTCAAAACTGCTCCGAAGATTGAAAAAAACACTGGCACAAGTGTATTATATCTGAGGTAGACTACTTTGAAGATGAAGATTGATGAATAAATAAATATTTTCTGGAAAAAATGAAAATTCACCTTATTTTTTGAACAGATCTTGTAAAATAGAAGTTTCACCTGTTTACAATAAAATATACTGTTTCCATACCGCTATATAGATTATTTTTAGTGAATTTAAATTTTCTAATCAACAGAGGATATAATAAGCACAATCATAATTCTTACCTCCTCAGAGAACTTTCTGCAATAAAAGCAGGTTCCAAATTGCTGGAATCATGGAAAATGGAAGACTGTGCGATACTGGGTATCCTGAATGAGAGAGTTCGAGGCTGACCCTTGGAATCAATCACCTTAAAAGTTGAATTGGACCAATCATAAAAAATTTTTTAGAACACTCTTTTTCTTGAGGTAAATTAACATTTTTAAACCGGATAAAATATAACCAATTCACTGGTAAATATGTATTATATTGAATGAGAGAGAGAGAGAGAGACACGTTGACACATCAAGAAGAGTACTTCGACCACGCCACTGAAGATGATTGATTGCAGCAGTTGCAGTAGAAAAGTTTGGGGATTATAACCAAATACCACGGCATAACCCGAAAGCCAATCAAAACATTGACGCCAGCCGTGAAAGCTTACATTCCTTTAACTTATAAATATTGTTATAGGTATAGAAATGTATAAAATACATTTAATTTAACTGAACAAATACCGTATAAACACGAAAATAAGAAATACACAGAGAAGTGATTAACTACAAATACCAAGCCAGTAAATGGCGGTTCGTTAAAATCTCTTAAGATTCAAGAGAATTATTAAGATACACCTGAATTGTACAATAGGCCCTATCAACAAGTAGCATTTTAACTACTTTTCTGAATTTGTTGAAAACTGTTATTTCAACAGTTTGATGCCTCTGAATTTAATTGAGTCCTTAACTAGGGAGCTTGCAGGAATATGTTGCTGTTGTGACTACAAGTATTATATGAAAAAAGGGAGGTTGCACAAAACAAATAATCTATTAAACAGATAGTTTCGAGAGTTCATTTCAAAATATTTTCTAACATTTTTCAATATATTCCATAATCAAATTCAATTAGAATATTAACTTTCACTCACCTCAAGATTGTATAAACTAACCAACAAAGTTTGAACAGCAGAATATGACTTGTCTGAAAGATGCAAAAACACAAGTATAGGAATGAATTGGATAGTAAACCTTCTCAAATTAATTTCCCCTGAGCGATAAAAGTTCAATAATTGTTGACATATTCCATCAATCAACTACAACAAAAAACCTTGAATTATTATCTTATGCTACGAAGTACAGGGTTCATATCTTGATACAATTATAAACTGATGTTACTTAAAACATAACTTACATTATCAGATTTGAACTTTTGGGGCTCCGATAGAACACTATACAGGGCCATCATAACCTCATGATTATGTTCTTGTTCAATGGAATACATGTGTATTTCACTCTCAGTTAAGGACTCAAATTCGTCTAACCAGTCTAGGACAAGGATATCTGCCATTATCACTATGTAATGGAAGTAAATCGCTCAAATAAGGTTATATTGTTGCCACTTATTGGATGGGTAAACTGAAAACAAGTGCTACATATACATCATCTGAATGATTTTTAACTTTTACACATTTCAAATTTAGAAAACATAACTTTTCAGACTTTAAGCTTATCACAAAAACAAATTGTCATTAAGTCAAAACAAATAATTGTCAAATTTTGAAACTTCAATGTTGCCAGCTTTCTGAGTGCCTACCCACCACAGTACCCACAGAACTTTTTATGTTATCTTATGACACGTGTTAGGAATCACACGTTAAAAGGTAAGACCTCGTTAGTCATTAGCTCGCACAAGTTTCTCAACTCCTGGGAGTTGTCTTTCGTATGGAGGCGACAGCTGATTAACGGAAAAACAGATTTTAAACAGATTTTTTAAACAGACACATGATATCAGTTCATGAGTTCTGTGAGTTTGGTCTACTGTAACCACAAGGAAGCAAAGACAAAAATAAATCGAAGGAAAAGACATCTGTGAATGAATACGTTATGAATTTACATTAAGTATCGATCGATTCTATCACATATTTTAAAAAAGCCCCTACGGGTTTTTGTGGCCATTTGGTATTACACATTGATTTTACGGTGTGCTATAAACATTTGGTTTTTCAACTAATGTATCAAAATTGCAGTATACCGCAAATTCACCGCACTGAAGACAAATAACAGAAGTAGAGCAGCTCAGGAAGGAATCAATCACGGAAGAACGAAATGGATAGAAGTAGAAAGGAAATTTCAATATTGTAGGAGGGATATCTTGAATGTTTATCTGAAGGTAATACACTCTGAATTATTAACTAGATTTCATTATATTATTGTAAATCATGCCCGAAAGGAAATAATGCCGGCAGCCACTGGTAACCATAAACCAAACGTGACGTAGCTGAGAGGGTGGGAATATCAAATGTTACCTGCCGCTCGAGAAGCAGCAAGAAACATGCTACCAATGTCTATGAAACTTCGGCGAAATTCTACGATGTTCCATTGCGATGTTTAAACGCTAGCTGCAAGCGTATTCGGACAGTCAAGTACACAGTGAAGTGGACGTTACAGCGCGGTACGTGAATAAGTGATCTAGTAAGGCGTATACTAGTATACATCTAGTATACATTCAAATAATTGTTGATAGTTTTTTTGGTTGAAGTGTTTGTTGTATTTCAAGTGAAATAAAGTTAAGTCAATTATTCGGCAACAATATTTTTTTAATTCACCACCCGCATGTCTACAGCAATTAGGTGGATTTTTTTAGGAATAGTTAGTCAACATTACTCTGATAATTTCTGGAATATCAACTTTTGGAAACAATATATAGGGTGCTCGGTAAAACCGGTCAAATTTTATTTATTTTAAAACAGACATAATTAACTTTTTCAAATGGAACACCTTGTATTTTTTCATTTGTATGAAATGAATGTTTCAGCATTTCACTACATATTTTATTAGAGGTACGTATACTATACGAAAAACTGATATTTTATAAATTGATGAATGTAGCCGTTAATACGTGGTAGGAAATCATGATGAAGAAAAGAGAATTGAATGTCCATAGAGACAGTCTGGCTTTGTGTAAAACTTTTCCCAAGTATTTGTGACTAACGTTACCGCAGTTTCGTCCTATAAGGACATTTTCAAACTTATACATTAAATGTTCAAATGAATTTTTTATGGTTACAACAATTTGTGATGCACTGTTTGGAACCTTTGGTGTAGTAATGGATATTACTGGAGTTTTTTCCCAACACCAAACCGTTATTTTAACACCTTAACACGTGTTTCGATCACCAAGTGATCATCTTCAAGAGGAAGATCAAACTAATCATACTTACAAAGCCATCCTTATTTATATCATAGATACCTGTTTGTCCCTGTGTAGTAGTTAGATGAATATAATGATTAAAATATTATGAGCTATATTAAATCAATTTCACAATGTGTCCTTATGTAATAGTCAGGTATACTATTAGGTATTAGTCCACCATCATTATTCATAATATTATTATGTTTACTTATTTCTACACTATTATAGGCATCTAGATGCCTGTTGTTGTTAACTTGTCTAACTAATCTCAATGAACTGAAGTCTATGGAATGGTTTTGTTGCAAAATATGATGGGTGACTGCTGATTTTCCTTATATCTTATTTCAATAGATCTTTTTGTTTGTCCATAATATTTTGCATCGCAGTCCTTACATTTAATTTCGCAAATTCCAGACTTTTCCGAATTCTCGATTTTGTCTTTTGGGCTTCCTAAAAGGCTCTGTAGTGTATGACTTGTTTTAAAAACCACCTTCATACCTAGTTCCTTGAAAATATTTCCAAATATTTCGTGTATTGAAGGTATATTTATCTTGGTTTTTGTCCTTTCTAAAAGTCGAGATTTCGTTCATTCTTAACCTAAGGAAGAAGTTTAGGTTGGCTGAATCACCCAGTATGCGAGAAAATAATTTTAAAAGGTAGTATTTATCGATATGGCTGCAAAAAAAATTGAACAATTCAAAAAATTGTTTTCCTCTTGTTCTTGTCGACTCTCCCTGTATTTTAACCACAAAAGTTATCCGATGAGAGATTCGTAAAGTTAACCAACAAGAAGTTCACACTGAATTAAAATTGTTCATTAGAAACAGGCTTTAGTTATAACACAAAACCGTATATTAATTCTGCAAACATAGAATGTTTAGATATTGAAACGGAGCTAGTTCTGAGAGGTATTTTTAATCATAATAAACATGTCGCTGCAAATATATTGAAATTAGAACCTGTTGATCGAATTCAGTCTAATAGAGAAACGAAATTGCAACAAAAAGCATTGACGATGAAGTGATTTTTACGAGAGCAGATAAAGGTCGAACGGTTATTGCGTTAGATGAAAACGACTACGTAGGCAATATCGTTGATTCAGGAAGCTGCGATATTCTGAGTAATGATTTTACAAATGTCTACCAGAAAGAGGTAAAGGAAACTAGACACTAGAGCTGTTTATGAATGGAAGAAATAAATGCAGGGCAATAATCATGAATCCACAACCACCCAACTGTATTCTCTTATCAAATTACTAATTTCTCGATTAGAACTGTGGTGTCGTTTGTAATGGCTCCAACTGTAAAAATCTCGGAAATGCTCGTAAAATTAATTCTAGCCTAAATTAATTGTAAGCCACAATTAGTGAATAATATTAAACACGTAACTCTTCCTGATAACGCTAAATAAATATCGTTTGATGTCCAAAATTCATTGCCAAGCAGTCCGCCAATTGAAGCAATTAGGCTCGTTAAGCGTCTCTTTGACAAAAATCATGTAAATCCTCTGATAAAACAGGAAATTTCAGATTTACTCACTATTTGTCTATCTCAAACTATTTCCAATTCGATGAAAAGTTTTATTCATGCAGCGAAGGACTAATAATGGGAAGCCAGTTAAGTTCTTTGTCAGCTGAAATTGAATTTTCATGGATAATCTACAGAAAGAAATAATAATCAGTCAATTAGCAGTTTCTTGTATTGGTACAGATACGTAGATGATATCTAAGTCTGTTTTACTGGTTCAGCTAGGCAATTAGATAACTTTGTCGAATATGTCAACACGCCCGAAGAAGCCATTGTATGGCGAAACACGTGTTGCGTTTTTGGAAAAGTTTTTAGTGAATTCATGATTTATCTATATCCCAACTTACATTAGAATCCTTAGAATCCGTTGAGGTGTTTGGGCTCAAAAAAGTAATAAAAATAAATATATACATTATATTCAATACAGATACTCTTGAAGAAGCTATTGTATAGCACAACACGTTTTGCGTATTTGTGAAACTACAAATATCTGAAACTAGCAGAAAAAATGGAAAATTATACTCAGATGAATAGGAAATCAATCAGCAAATGTATGTGTGTAGTTAAATCACTTCGACAAAGATGATTCATTTCTGTGTATGTTCGTATATGTGATATGTATCAGCCCTCAATAAATTCCAGAGACAAGAAGTGAAAAAGATTGAACAAAAAATAATTCCAATTAGAATAGTCTCAAAGGTTTATCCAGTTTTCCATAAATAAGTATCATCGTGATAATCATAAAGGTTGTGAAAACTGAACACAATAAAGTGTTACTTGGATGCATTATGGATTTCCATCAAGAATCGACCAATTTCGTCATATACACATCTCCAAACACACACGACAATCATTCATCCATATCATTGATTGGTAATATCGAAGTCAAATCACGCACTTTAGGGAGGAGATGATTCCCGCCGAGGATATAAGGGCGTTCACGATCAAAGTTACGATTGAAGAGAACAAACTACGGGCTAGAAGTCTGTGGTCTAGTGGAACCTAAATTACGAAACGTTTCGTCTACTAATGCGTTGGTATCTCGGAGCCTCAGAAACTAACGAAAATGTATTGCTAAATCCTTTATTATTTGATTGTTGATTGATCTAGAACACACGGCTTCATATTTTACTATCGATCTCGTAATATTTCATAAACATTTCTATACAAAATAGTCCTAACAAATGATTGAGATGCTACTGCTTTGAAAGAAGAGGCCGCCAACAAGTATTAAGAATTAGGAAGATATAATCTCCAATGGCAAGTGACAATGGAGGGTTCTTAATAATACAATACGCACTCATCAAACGTAGCTTTAGATCTTCTTTTTTCATGAAAAGTATCTTATATAATATGAACTCTAAAATAATGCTACTCATCATAAAATTTATAACCTACAACATATTGACTTCTTATGTACTGTTTGGAAGCTTTGGCACAGTATTTTATACAAAATACTGTGGCTTTGGTGTAGTACTGAATATTATTATTACATAAGGACATTGTAAAATAATAGATAAGGCTACTTGTAAAATTAATTTAGGGTGGTATACCTGTATGGTTTACCTGTATGATATATGATATGATATATCTGTATAACATAAATAGCTTTAGTTTCGCGAAGTTTCCAGTTTTATCTTCGTCTTGAAGATGATAACCTGGTGATCGAAACACCTGTCGAGGTAATGATTTGGTGTTGGGGAAAAAACTCCAGTAATATTCAACATATTGACTTGTAATAAACACAAATTTATCCTTTCATATCTTTACTTTCTACAACCCGGGTGCTACTAATCAAAAAGTACAGGTAGTTGTAGTACTCTTTGCCACTAATACTAGGCAACATTTCGGGCGTGTATAATGCTTTGCCGTTGTCACGGAGCGAGAAGAGTGCTATTCTTCGTTTTGTTATTTGTCTTTCCACCAATCCCAAAAATGATAATACATCTAGTCTGTTGGTTTTATGTATTTCCGTTAGTTGGGAAAATAATAGATATATTCAAGGAATAATTAGATGTTTATGGAGTAACCTGGGGTCAGACAACCTTAATATCTGCCTGAGAAATGGATGATGGTTCTCGGATGACTAGCAAATTGCTCACAAAGCAGAGCCAAACAATAAAGGAGGAAGAAGAAGAATTCTAATGACATAACTTGTCAAATTGCTCACAAAGAAGAGTCAAAAAATAAAACTAAGAAGAAGAATTCTAATGACATATTTGCCATTTACTGTATATACTGGACAACTAGGTCTGGGGTGCACATTAGATGGGATATAGACAAACCATAATAGGTTTTGTAGTGATTGTTTCCATTTTTTCATTCGAGTTTTTATTTTATTATTGAATTGACCATTTTATTGAACATGGAACTTTCAAGTATCTTGCCAGCTCCGGTCCAACCCATTTGGGACCGTGATGATGAACGTCGAAAAAAGGCTACATTGAAACCTGCTACTACTCTAGTAAGTGTTCACAGTATCGCTCCTCCTTATGGTCAAAGAAGAGGATGGGTTCCTAGGAATATAACTGACTATGGGGACGGCGGGGCTTTTCCTGAAATACATGTAGCTCAGTACCCTTTGGATATGGGTCGCAAAGCAGATTCTAGTTCGAATGCCTTGGCTGTTCAGTTGGGTGCTGACGGAAAAGTGAAATATGATGTTTTGGCTCGACAGGGTCATTCTAAAGATAAAATAGTTTACTCTAAGTTATCAGATTTACTACCAGTTGAAATGGTTTCGGAGAATGATCCTAGTTTGCAAAAGCCTGGACAAGAGGAAATTGATGAAATCACTGAACGAACAAAACAAGCTCTCATGAAGATAACAAATTCCAAAATAGCAGCAGCTATGCCTGTGAGAGCAGCCGAGAAACAAGGCCCTGCAGAATTCATAAGATATACTCCCTCCCAACAAGGTGCAGCATTCAATTCTGGAGCTAAGCAGAGAGTGATTAGACTTGTAGAGACTCAGGTTGATCCAATGGAGCCACCTCGGTTCAAAATAAATAAAAAAATTCCCAGAGGACCACCTTCCCCTCCTGCTCCTGTTTTGCACAGCCCTACTCGTAGGGTCACTGTTAAGGAACAGAAAGAGTGGAAAATACCTCCATGTATATCAAATTGGAAGAATGCCAAAGGTGAGTTTTTGTATTGTGAGGAAATTATTAATTTCAATGAATTGCACTAGTTTTTCAAATAATTTCACTAGACTTCCATATTTTTATTAGTTGATCACGAATATGAAAAATAAATGATACTACTACTACATCTGTCAAAACTGTTGAAAATCAACAATTTCTGGAAGTCACTTCTGTTAATTTCACCGAAATAACTATATTTTTGGAATCAGGTCTTCACTAGAGTTTATATTATAAGTACCAATTCCAAACGCTCCTAACTTTAGATGAATCGATGCTGGAAAAATTATAGCAATTAATTTTTGAGACACAAATCAGGTTTCAAAAAAATCATCCTTGTGACACGGCACTTCAGTATACTATCAATAGAATGAAAAAAACATGTAGATGAAGGGAATTATATAGTATCATTAGTTTCAGAAAATTTACTTTGTGAAACATTTGGTACTCATAGTCTGAGATATACGAACTGGATTTGATTACCTCGAAAACTGTCATTATATTCATTTTTGATAAGTTGTCCATATACAATCGTGAAGATGTTCACTTTAATTTTTATATCAGTTTCTTTGGTATATTAGGAACACACACTTTATAAAAGATTGTCCAAGAGCAAAAATATTGAAATTTCTTCTGAAAGACTAAAAATAATATCCTTTTTCCGAACAGGATAACTTAATGACTTTTCAACTTCACAATGGATGTTAACACTTTATATTTTTTTATAGATTAGTCAATTGGATAAATTAGTAATAGATAAGAAGAATGGTAGTTATACTCATGGTATAATTAATACATATATTCTTTCACTTCTCTATTGTTTCACTTGTTTATGAAAACAATTTATTTTTTCAGGGTATACTGTCCCATTGGACAAGAGACTAGCTGCAGATGGTAGAGGTCTGCAACAACTACATATCAATGAAAATTTTGCCAAGTTTGCAGAAGCACTTTACATAGCTGATAGAAAAGCAAGAGAAGCTGTGGAAACTCGAGCTCAGCTTGAGAAAAAACTGGCACAGAAGGAAAAAGAAGCTAAGGAGGAGCATCTTAGACAACTAGCTCAGAGAGCTAGGGATGAGAGAGCTGGAATCAAGACTGTACCAAGTATGTTTTCTTTATTTTCAAACATCTCATATTCAACCAAAGTAATTTTTTTTAACAAATGTAAACATTTTTTCCAAGTATATAGTTTTAACTTTATTCTGTTCTTTGGTTTTCATTTGAATTATTCCTCAATATTTTTCATTGATTGAGGTGCTCATAACCAGAAATTATTTGAAACTGTTGACCTACTTATGGGTAACATAATGCATCCAACTTTCGACTGATAACATCTTCATATTTCACTCGATTAACACAAAATATTGATGACTTATACACATAAATCTTATTCTTATTTGTCCATAATGAATTTTATTTAAGAAGCCGTAGCTTCATCAGTTGGATTTATTTCCTAAGCAGTCAATATATAGAATTAGACATCATCAGTCAAAGATCAGAATTTCTAAAGGGGTCAGAGTTTGATGTATTATTTAATAATTATTTCTTTCCAACTAAAAGCAACATATTAATACTACTATTTTACATCTTCAACCATTTTCTTTGGGATCTTCTGGCACAGTACATCTAAAATGAAAATGTTCGGTGGTCAAGCTAAAATACATTTTATATACTATTTTTTTTTTTTTTTTAGTAGATGTGGTAATGTTTCAAATATGAAGATTCTATGGTTTTATCTCTATGTTCTTTTTGGTTGTTCACCGAACATTATATATTCGAGTGTTCTTCATCAAAAAATCTAAAACAACAAATTGTAGTCATTTTTTGAAATAGGCTTTTTCACTTACTCTGATTAAAATTATTTTTTCATTTCTATGCAGACCTCTCCAAGGCAGTTGATGATGAAGAACAAGAAAGAGATATGCTTCGTCAGGATCGCCACAAGGAGCGTGCTCGGGATAGGAACCTTGCTCGTGCAGCCCCAGATAAGCGAAGTAAATTACAGCGGGAACGAGAAAGGGATATATCCGAACAGATTGCTCTTGGAATGCCAGCCAGGGGAGTAACTTCTAATGAAACACAGTTTGATCAACGGCTTTTTGGCCAAGCCCAAGGATTAGGGCAAGGTTATGCAGACGATGAAGCTTACAATGTATATGATAAACCTTGGAGAGAGGGCGGGTCTATGGCTAATCATATTTATAGACCTAATAAAAACATTGATAAGGAGATTTATGGAGGCGAAGAGCTAGAGAAGGCTATAAGGACCAATAGGTATGTTTACTTTTTTACTATTTTTTTATATAGATAAGAGTTTGAAGAAGTTTTGAAAGAATACGGGTAAAGAAGGAATCTCTAATACTATGGTAAAACATATTTTTGAGCTGTGATACACTTAGATATGAATCAAGAAATAAAACCTAATAACTTATATGTGGAACTTACATTTGATAACTTGCATCCTAGGGATAAGTGTGGACATCAAACCAAGCACAATATTCATTTTCAAAGACATTCATAATTATTAATAAACAAACTGTGTTGAAGGTATTTGAACTTTTTAAATAATTGTTTGAATAGTATGGTCTGAATGCAAACAGCCCTCTTCTTCGTTTTTACATCATTTCTAGCTAATACAGCAGAATCTCATTTTGCAAATTCTAACATAAAAAATTAAATAAGTGTTGTTTTCAGTTTCCTATTGAATTCTTCCACATTTGATCAGAAGATCATTATTAATTTAATGTACTGAATTATGTAGTAAATGTCCTTATTTGGGAAGCATTAATAGTGAAATATTGAATTTGTTCTAATTCAACTAGCAATGGTGACACAAAATTAAATTTTAAATCTAGATAGTAAAAGTTAAACCGAAAAGTTCACCATAGAAATTATGTAATATAAACCATATAACTAGTCATAGTTATATAACCATATAACTACAAAAATGTTGATGAAATATGTTTAGAAATATTTGCGGTTTTGAAACAAAGTATATACAAAGTTTCAATCATTTATTTAATTCAAAGACAAAATTCATAAATACAAGTTACTGACTAATTAGAGTCAACAAAAAGTTTTGCACCAGGGAAATGCACGGAACAAAACTTTATTAGAACTTTGTTAATGAGGCAAATGTGAGAGTTTGTTTCACATGGAAGTTTTGCACTTGCAGAAGTTGAAGCACTTATTTGTTCCTTTATGAACTGTGTCAACATGTTTTGCAAGGTTAAAGTAAATTATTTCTGATAGAAATGATAATTAAATTGCTCTAAATTCAATCAAGATTTGTACCAAAAGCTGTGATATTGTTAATTTCAGTCCTTGTACAGTCAGTGGAATTTCATATAAACATAATTTTCTCTATGAGGGATATAAGAGAATGAACTGTCAATCTTGTTTTCAGGATGTATTTCATTTTTCTTTTCATTAGTTATATGAGTGCAATTGGATTACTTTAGATGTATATATGTATTTTTCAGATTTGTTCCGGACAAAGAGTTTGGAGGAACAGATCGATCAGGAACTGGTCGTGCTGGACCAGTCCAATTCGAGAAGGAAGAGGATCCCTTTGGATTGGATCAGTTCTTGTCTCAAGCTAAGAGAGCCAGTAAAAGGAAGGAACCTGAGAAGAGAGATGACAGAGATAAGAGAAAGAGGCGTGATTAGACTATCCCAGTATGTGAAGATCATATGTGGACTTTTAAAGAAATTTTTTGTGGACTCAACATTTCTTACTGTTTTTCGGGTATATAACATTTCACAATCTGAAAAATACACAAAGCTGAAACAGTAGACAATCTGTTGAAGTGTAGTAAAGGGCAAACTGATGACTTCACTCCGAAAAGTTATTGCATAATGTAAAGCACTGAAGAGTCCACTTAGTCAGTAACTTGTCCGATTCATAAGTTTTGCCTACAAATTGGAAAAATCAATTGAAAAAAATTGAATATTTATACTTAGCTTTCCGTTTTCAAAATTTGAATTTGATTTGCCTTAAATTGTAAATAACTTAAATTCTTTTGACATACCTCAAAAGAATGAATGTCCAGAAGTCATATGCGATAGTCTACATGAGTACATGTACTGGATAATTTTTGAGAACTCAGTTGAGGTTATATACCCAAAAAAAAACAGTATCAATCATATGTAAACTTTGTTAAGAATTTCTAGAAAGAAGTCCTAAGGCATGAAAACATATTTGATGGTTGAATATAACCATGTTCACTTTATACAAGTTATTCAATTCTCATTCTTATAAAAATCTTTTGTTGTGACCTAATTTTCTACTAGGAAGACAAGTCATGAAATGTTTTATTTTTAAATCCTAAAACATTGAAAATGGCTTGGCTTACCTACATATTTAGAAATCATACCATTGATTTTAACAAAATCAGCACCTTTATCTTCTCATCATTTTCTTCCAAAAGTGTACACTGGTAAAATACAATTACAGTATGTATATAGCATGGACATAATACAATGAAATATAAAACTTTGAAATTGAAAGATTGATACAATGGTAGGAAAATACATATTAATACATCAGTGGTGCAAGTCTTAACATGACAAAATTTTTATTGTGTAATACCCGTAAGACATGTTGATGCGGCAAGTGAAGCTTATAATAAGAGAAGAAATTACATATTTTCATAAACTGCACCTTACGATTTGATCTTCACAAACTTTATTTTTGTAAAATATATCACGAC